TGACCGACTCGCCGCTTCCCTTTCATTCGGGTTCCACTCGAGCAATGGCTTGTCTAGTGATGTCACTTATTTCAGTATTTTTATTATTATTTGAAGCGACCAAGATGTCGCACGCATAAATACCAGCCTGCTGATAGCAATACTCACGCCACTTAGCATGTTGCTTCACTATTATTTGGTTTTATCTTTTGGTTTTTCTTAATAGTAGTTGACTAACCAACCTATTTATTGTTCGTTCAATTTTTCTCCGCAATTATTTATGTTGCTTGTCATCTTTCCATTTGTACGTTAATTGATTATTTAAGTTGTGAAGCTGCACCGATCAGATTGATCTGTGTATAATGAACCTCCATTTGTTGACACATGTAGATTGGCATTTGTCAACTTACTTCATCCCTGGTATAGATGTGATACACAACTATTGATCAAAGAGCGTGTGTACAGTACGCACCAGTTCGCTCTGTTCTTCTTTATGACTGTAAGTCATGCCTATTGGAAGCGGAAGATATGAAGAGGTTATCTGTGTTCTAAGCGACAGAGACAATGTTAAGCGTGAAACCTATGACTTGCTTTGTTATTAACAACATAATTTTAGGCTCTTTTATTTCTCTCTTATTTTGTATTCTATAGTGAACTCCTTCTTAAACATACTTAGCTACCTAAATTATTAACATTGGCTTCCTTTTTTGCACTTTACTATATTCTTTCTATTGTGTATCTACTAGTTCCGACTCTATTAGCACTATGAGTATTACAAAATTGTCCTGTCACTCACCATCATGTAATTATTAGTTTTTGTGGTTGTTTTTTCTTATTTTCTATACTTTTCGGCAATATTAACTGACAATCATTGGTTGTGAACGCCATAGTCACCACCTTAAAATTTTGTATCATTCAGGATTACTCACACTACCACTACAAACACTGCATTAGACCTGAAAATAAAAGACTAAACAACAACCCTGAAATGTTATTTTATCATTGTTTAGTGTTGTTTCAACCAAATTAACTGATCATCTTGGCGATAAACATTCTTAAATATCATTTCATAACTTCTTGTATGACTATAGCTTTACTGTCACCATGCATAATCATATCATAGCTTCCACTACCCAGTACTGAGATATTATTATATGCTGTTTATTTTCCTTTCTACCTCTTGGTATTTTTTCGCATTTATAATTGTTGTTGTGTTTATCTTGTTTTTCCTGCTTTTTTGCTGCTGGTGTCTTTAGATTTATTTTTTTGTTTGCTAAATACTCCTTTTAAATGTTTGTAAAATTAGATGCAAATATTGTAGATATGTGCTGAAAATTCCACACTGTACCACTAGTACTGTTTCTGGAATAAAGCAAATTATTATTATTTGATCGCAGATGTTTACTTACTTTACTTCGGCTATCTCCTACGGGAGGATGAGCCGGCTTCCTGAACAGAGTTCATGAAGTTTCATGGGAATTTGGTACGAGTGATGTCCCCAGAATCGCTCGGCCTTTTGTTTGAGAGTGCAGCTCTAGCCTTTACACAACCAAGTGTGACCTACAAGGCAGTAGGAGTGGAGTAGGGAGTCCACTATCCATTGGCAGCCGGTGACCGGAGTTCGGTTCATACGCCTTTTTGAATGGGGCTAGACATACAGGACATCCAACAAGCCCTTTGTCCATACGTCTGCCGGTGAGCTCCAGTGAACTTCATACGCCAGTCGTTGGAGGTTTGGAATGATGGTTTAGCCATATCCCCTAGACTGTCATCCAATGGACAGTCAACCCGGTGAAGAGCGCCGGGCATCCGCTTTCGCCCTCTCACTTTGGTGAAAAACACCGCCGCCACGTGAGGGCAGTGAGTAGGACTTCCTCAGGAGAGGCTATGTAAGACGCCCGGTCATATGGGAGCATTTGAAGAGGTGTGCGGAGGGGTGGCCAACCCGCAGCGCAAGGCACCCACCGCCGACCATCCTGAGGCTTTGGAGTTATATGGTGAGCAATATTAGGGTTAGTCATAAGGTGTTATGTAAGGACGGTAAGTCAGTCGATGCCGTTGTATAGCTACATCAATTAAGATAGCTAGGACACTTGTTGCACATGATGAGGCAACGACTTCCTTTTCGAGCCATGTCACTTGATACAGGGTTAGCTTAGAAAAGAGCTGCGGGTAGTCATACCAAAACCTAGAATCAGCCCCTGAGGCTTTTAACAATTGGTTTGTGTCACGTAGTGGTGCAGACTGACTGGCTGGTGGGGTCCTCGTGATACTAAGAACTTGTGACTTGATACTGTTTGTGATATATTCACTCCTAGGTCCATTAAATCCTCATGTCTTTGCTTTCTTCTCAATTCCTTTACGTTCCCAGTGGAACATAGCGGTCTTCAAGCTAGAGGCTTGAAGTTTCGGCAGCAGTGGTGTTTACTTTTACGGAATGGGGTTGCTAGCCTCATGTCCAACCTTCCCTCTTTAAAAGTCTTATTAGTAGCTTAGTGGGGTAAAGGAGTGCGTCTGTGGCCGGGGATTGAACCCCGAAGCACACGCGTGGTTGGCGAGCATTCTACCACTGTGCCACCGACGCACTCATGTCTTTGTACATATCCTTTGGAATCTCTTCCCTCTACCTTTCTGGGCTACACGGAGTGCCATAACTCGAATTGCTATACCTATGTGCAAAATTCTATCCTGAGTGCTCAGTCAGTCGGTAGAGTTAGTAATAACAAAAGTAGGTTTGAACTAACTAACTAGTGTAATTACTGACTGTTTGCTCAACATGATGAAAATCCTGTAACCAATCAAATCCTTACAAACAAACACTTGAAAATAGGTTTCTTGATTTGCATGGTAAAGACTTCGTGAATCAATGCCTGGAGATTTATTATTTAGCACCAAAGCATCATAACTGAAACGCTTTTTTGTTCATTTTTCGTATTGTTTATTTGGTTTCTTTCGAATTCTGTTGACTCTTTGTCAGTATATTTTTTAATAATGCATTGCAAGTCAAACTGTTACGCTCTTCTGCAAAAGTCTACATTTCGTCTGACAGTCGTTTTAATAATTATACTGGCGAAAAACGTACTACTAGAAATTAAGTTGTATTCACTTTCCGTGTGGAATATAAAATTCGGTTGCCCCAACACTACATAGTGCCTCAAACCTTTATCGACTCCATTCAACATTTCTATGATGATGATTTCACAACAATAAGGAATCCACATCATCAGTAGTAATTCCATACCAGGAAGGAACCTCGGAAGCCTTACGCAGAATTCTTAACAAGGCAGGAATAAAAGTGGCTGGCATTCAAACCACTTTAAAACTCAATTAGAAACATGCTTTGTCGGTTAAAGGATCCTGTCTGTGGAGCCTTTAAAAAAAAACAATTTAGTTTATCTAATACCCTGCCTGCAATAATTGTCAGGTCAAATACATAGGTCAAACTAGTAGAACAGGGGCAGTCAGACTAGGTGAACATAAAAACTTAGCAAAATCTAGATTGGTTGATCCAAATAAGATAAGAAATCTAGAGAATAGTTCAGCTAGCTATAGCACCACATGCAATTACACACAACCATACAATAGGATGTAATAAGGTGACAGTTTTAAAATCTAATGTCACAGGGTATAGGGAGAGATTGATAACAGAAGCTTTGTTTATCGAATCAACTGCAAATACGTGCAATAGGAATGATTCATCACCTGTCGCAGACGGATGTCTGGAAAATTCTACTACCCCTACGACAAATAGGAGAAAACAAAGAAAACTGTAAAACTCGAGTTTCAAAGTCGTGTGATTACAGTTGATATGATTATGAACAATAAATTTTGTTCGAAACGTCATCCAGTAAATAATACTGTTTCACTGTGTGATACATCTAATAAACAAACTAATATGAAATGACTTCTGAGCACAGTGCCAAAGTTTTACGCATATATCCATTCAACATTTACATGATGATGATTTCACCTGTCAAGTGATTCACAGCGGAAATCTCAGTCATGCCTTCGAAGTGAAGATAGGAGTAAGACAGACACCTGACTGCCTCTCTGCTATCACTTATGACATTCCTGATTGTGGTAGACTGGATCATTCAATAGACAGATAAAAAGTCTCTTGAAGGTCTGAACTTCGCAGACGATTTACGAGGATCTACATGCGGAAACCGAAAAGGTGGCAAAAGAAGCAGCGAAGACAGAACTTCAAGTGAATATGGGGAAGACGGAGGTGGTGGACCTTGGAAGCCTGTTTGAAAGTTGGGCTACCTATTCTTCCACTTACATACTGCATCTAATTTATCGTATTATAATAATAATAATTATTATCATTATTATTATGATTTAGGATGCCTAACTGACACCAGCAGTCACTATCAATGGGAGAAATTTTTAAGGAGTCACTTCTTTCCCTAACGCAGGTAGCACCGTTTCAAAAAGAGGCGGCATGGATGAAGACGTCAAAGCCAGTCAGGATCGGAAAGCCAAAACAGATCTCTATTGTTCTGAAATCAGTGCGGAAATCTTCTGCACTAAGCATAGAGAACAAAATCTGAATTTTCAACACTGATGTCAATTCAACCAGTGCTTCTATATCCTTCAGAGACTCAACGTGTTACCAAATCATCTCAAACAGGCTTCAGACTTCTATCGCGTGCTGTCTTTGCTTTATAGTGACTATCAGAGTGTCGATAAGATTGGTCTGGTTTCGATTTCCGTCTAACAGACTGATTAACCTCTTCTATACAGTAGTAAGCTTGGAATGATTGGGCATGAGGCTAGTAACCCCACCCTATAAAAACAAAAACACAAGCACTGCTAAAACTTCAAAGGTTAAAGCCTGAAGCCTTTTGTTCCACTTGGGATGAAAACGGCTGACGACAATGACTTCGAAAGATGCGATTCAATTACTAACAGTAAATGAAAGTGCAATTTGGAAAAAGCAAATACTGAAATGGTTCCCTGTTTTTTCAAAACAAAATTTTCTCTAATTTTTTCTATATACACACATATATATATTTATATTATGCTCTCGAAGAATTCATGGATTGTACACTGGTTAATTCTTGAACTTGTTTCATCTCCCTTGAATATTCTTCGTCAATTCTTTCTTTTAATTTTAATTCGTCTAGCATGACCTTGACAAAAAGAACAGACAAACAAAAAAACAAAGAAGGTAAAGTTAAATTAAACTGAGGCGTTTATTTTAGCAGCTTCAGAGTTCTTACTAGTCTGTGACAGAGTAAGCGTTACTTCACAGTCAGGCTTTAAAGTTAAATATATATAAAAGCGCCTTTCGTAAATTTTTGCTGCTATATACCGGTCTACTGTATCATGCATTCTTCGTTTTTACTCGTATCCATGTGGCGCTCATTCATATTGGGAATATTTAGGCTATACCATATCCATCGCCAAAGACAGGACTCCAGGTGAACATAGACAAGACAGAGGTTATGAAAATAACCAACCAACAACAACAGCAACAACAACATCCAGTGCCAATCACCATCAACGGGAGGGATTTGAAAGAGGCTAATTCATTCGCTCACTTATCTAGGGAGCATTGTCTCAACTACAGGCACATTGAACGGACGAGGATGTCAAATCGAGAATCGGGAAGGCGAGAAACACATTCATCAACCTGAAACCAATCTGCAAATCTTCGACACTCAACCCAGCATCAACAACAAAATTCGGATTTTCAAAACAAACGTCAAGTCAGTCACTTCTTCTATACGGATGGATCAGAAACTTGGCCAGTGTGTCACAAAGAATATTTCCAACAGCCTGTTGCAGACCTTTATCAACAACAACTGTCTTCGCTGGCTCTATACTGAAGATCAGATGGCAGGAAAGAACAACAACCAACAAGAAACTATGGGAAGAAACAAAACAAGAAAGCAATCGCCCAACAAATATGCAGGAGAAAGTGGAGATGGATAGACACTCATGGCTGAGGAGGCCACTCGCAGGGTGAATCGCGCGTCAGGCCAACGCTCGAGTGGAACCCGAAAGGGAAGCGGCGAGTGGGACGTCAGTGCAAGGGTGACATGGAGGAGATCGTGTGAAGAGGAATTGAAACAGTATGGATTAACATGGATGCAGAGTGAAAAGTACAGCAGAAGACAGAAGCAAGTGGAGACGTGTAGTTGAAGTAGTTGAAGCCCTATGTTCCACTAGGAACCCAAGGGGACAATAATAATAATAATAAAAAATATTCCTACTCATAAAATATCACTTACTTGTTTCGGTTGTGAGCTGAATGTATTCAATACTTCAGATCGTTTGAGCTGTTTCAAATAGGCGTGTCGCATTGATAAAACAATATCGATAGCCATATCATGTTTGATAGCCAATTCAAGTGCTCTGTAAGTTAAAGAATGAGTGAATCGGTTAGTTAAATACAGGGCTCGATATTAGACCATCTGGTGCAAACCGGCCACAAAGCCAGCCAACGTTGAAGAATCCTTTTCTGTCATCATCTACCGGTTGCCTAACAAATTGCCAAAATCGTCGAAGCACAGCATGCTCCAAACAGCAGAGGCTACTGCAATTCACCTCAAACAACCAGTGCTCTGTGTTCAAAAGAAGCAAGTCCAGCCCCTACTATTGCACTGGCCCTCAGTAGAGACTATAAACTCATGAATTTGTACTATTACCTTTCTTAATTCTTCTGACATTCAGCTTATTTTATGTTGATGCTGTTCAGCTGTAATCTATCAATATTATTGATTTGATGTTATTTAAACATTTAATGCCGTTCATAAGACTAATTCATTCATTCATTCACTATAATGCATATATAACTGTAGAGCCTGATGATGAATTTATCGAAAAGAGTACTCTTTGTTCCGTGTCTAGTCTTTTGAAAATACAGAGTCATTTGTTCAGTATATATATGAGAAGGAATCAAATCACGCCCAGCTTACACTCTTCACCGGGCTTACCATTGGCTAAGCAAGGTTGAGGGATGCGCCAGCCTTGGGATGGAACTCCTGATCGCGTGCACAGTTTTTACGAGTATTCTAACAGTGAACCATCGAAGGCTGTAAGCAAACAGTAAATCCTATCAGTTATTAGTAGCAAACTGTAATCGTTTCCCACCACTTTGTCTGAACTGCGTTCATTTTTTGCCGATGTAGTCTGTCTGTCTGTCTGTTTTCGACATAGAACTTTGCACCGATGTGCGGCAGTTCAAGTCGCCACACTCCAGGTAGCACACAAAGCAAGAGAAGAAAGTAGGAGAAATGCAGAATAGAGACAGTAAACAGAGGTGTGAAACAAAGGAATAGTAATAACGAAGAACAAAACAGTTTCATTGGAAATCATAAGTCACAAGGAGTGGATTGGATGCATCCGCGCCATTACTGAGAACGATTTTGAGCCTTGTCACCAATTGTTTCCAACCATTGGTTTTTACCGTCCCGAGGACACCAACCAGTCAGGAAGTCTACACCTTCCTATTTGGCTGGCTTAGACTAACTGTTGTAGATTTCATCGACTGGTGCCACGTTTTGGTTTGACCGCCGCTGGCTCTTTTCCAGCCTGATCCTATATCAGCTAACATTGCCCATTGTCGAGAAAGGCGATGACTAGGCATGCGTAACACATGTCCTAACCATCTCAGTCGAAGTAATTTCACAGTCTCGTCGACTGATTTCCCCTCCTTACCTACCACTCGACCGACGCCTAACCTCAATATTGCTCACCTTATTATACCACTTCACACGGGAGATAGAGCGCAGACACCTATGATGGAAGACAGCTAATCTTTTCATGTCTTCCGCTCTCAATGACCAAGTCTCACAGCCATAAAGGAGGACGGAGCGGACTGTTGATTAGTACACAAGCCCTTAAATCGATAGTCAACCGGATATGACGTTTATGCCAGAGACGGCGTAAACTGGCATATGCGAAACTAGCCTTCTGAATCCATGCTGAGATTTCTTCAGTGATCAACCCGTTGGCACTGGCTGATGGTACTTCCCAAATAAGTGAAGCGGTCAACGTGCCCTACCACTTCACTTCCTATTTCTAATCTAGGGCTCGGTGTAGTCCAATCCTGTAACATCATCTTGCATTTTACATGGGTGAATCGCATGCCAAACATTAGCAGATTGCAACTCAAGGTGTTCAGAAGACTCTGCATTTTGTCCGCGTCCTCGCCTAGAAGGACTACATCGTCTGCATATTCTAAGTCGATGAGATTATTCCCTGGTAGCAATTCAATCCCTGAGTCTCTGAAGTGAGTTATGGTTAAGTCCATTCGTACATCTATGATGAAGTTGAATAGAAGTGGGCTAATGGGAATTCTTGACGGACGCCACTAGTCGTCACCAATTCAGATGACAACTCGCCGTAAGCCCTCACCTGGCTGCATGCCGATGTATATATATCGACGAAAATGAGTCCCACTAATAAGAATCTATCCGATAGCGTATCTGAATTATAAGTAATGATAGGCGAATATTAACCATGTTCAATAAAATCATCATCTCAGAAACGTTTCAACTCACCTGTTCCACTTAAATGCATGCAAATTAAGCATAATGGCTCGAAAATATAAACGATTCTGTAGCAAAACACCTTCAGCTTCTTGATATTCACCTGTGAAATATAAAAAAAATGTCATCTCATCTCCTTAAAAAGAAGTATTAGACTGGAATATGCGGTAAATTTAATGGTCCGTCTAGCGAATATCGCACACTAGATAACGTGTAACAACCACTCTTATGGCAACTTTGATTATCTACCTCATTAACTAGTAAACCGACTCATGGAGTTATTATCTACTCAGCAATAACACTGTGAATTCATGCATGAAGCAAGTACAGTAAACTGAGTAAACATTTTGTGATGCATCATCAAAAGTAAATGAAGTGAACACCAAAGTACAATTCGAGAATATGATTAGTCAGTCTAATGATCTGGTGCCAATGTCATATGACAGTGCAGAACATTTCAAATCAACTGTTTTAAACTGCTGCCTCGACTACATCAACAAAAACCTAGACTTCGCAATATGCTCTCAAAAGAACATCGAAAGCAACTCAGAGAATTGAAATCAAACGAAAACCTGATAATAATTCGACCAGACAAAGGTTCTGGAATTGTTATGTTCAACAAGTCAGACTATGTGAAGAAACTCTCGATAATTCTATCTGATGAAAACAAATTTCAAAAACAGACGATCCAAAATGATCCAACTGAACAGACGGAGCTCCAGCTAACCAAATTATTGAAAAAAGTGAAAGATGAATCAATTATTAATACAGAACTATATGAACAACTTCGCCCATCTGGTTCTACATCGCCACAAATGTACGGACTACCCAAAGTTCAGAGAAAGGACGTCCCACTCCGCCCAATATTAGGTATGATTAATTCGCCATATCACCTAATAGCTAAGTGGCTGGTAGAAATCGTTGGACCAGTGAAAGAAAAGCTGTCGAGATACAACCTCCGCGACACATTCGTATTAAAAATGTCAACCTCGCAAATAAAAAATGGTCTCCCTAGACGTCGTCTCTCTTTTCACCAATGTTCCACTGACAGAAACTATGTTTTCTGTGTGACTTCATCCAATGCAACAGCATAGATGTCAGCATACCGATCCATTATCTAAAGGAGCTGTTACTACGTTGTACCTTCAACGTCTACTTCAGATTCAAGGATGAAATCTATAGACAAACAAATGGCATAGCAATGAGCTCTCCACTAGGACCCCTCTTGGACGACTGTTTCATGGCCAGCCTAGAAAACAACTTCTTGTCATCGACTGTCACTGACCTCCATCTTTACAAGAGATATATTGATGATACTTTCATCATTTTTGATGAGGACTTGGATCTTGGAAACTTACTTCAGTGACGCCCACCCAAACATCGACTTTACTCTTGAGACTGTTTCTGACGGAATGTTCCACTTCGTCGACGTCCATCTGGCAAGAAACGCCGACAACTCTCTGAAAAGGACCATATACAGAAAGCCTACATGGAATGGACAATTCATCAACTCTCAAAGCTCCGGGTCCCTAAGCAGAAAGAGGAACCTGATATACGCTCTTTCCTCGAGGATTCGGAAGATATGCAGCGAAGAAGTGATTGACGAAGAACTGCGTAATCTCCGAGGAACCCTGATGGAAAATAGTTTTCCGCCTAGGTTCATAGACAAGAATCTCAAATCAAAGAAGACTTCCGAACAAGTCCAATCCGTTCCAAAGAAAATACTTCTGCTTAATCTAGATCCTTCGTAAATGCCTCTGCAAATCTCTCCGCAAGCCTACGACTGACGTTTTCCTGCAAGAAACTGTTCAGCCAGAACGCGAAAGACAAGCTGTCGCATTGGGCCACTTCAACGTGCATATACCAGTTTACTTGCTCCTGCGGAGCTGAGTACATCGACTGTACCATGCGCCAACTTGAAAAACGCCCTCGTGAACACTATCTAGCCTGGCTAGTAAAAGGTAAACGAAAATGTGTATATAGTTCAGTGACAGAACATCTGGTCAATTCAGGACATTCAGCGCCATTCAAAAAATCCTTTAAAATAATATGATAACTTAGCAATTGCATACAACCTAGAACAGTCAAAATGTCTATTATAGAAGAGTTCTTAGATCTCTTATGTAATATGTGCTACTTATTTTATTTATTGATTTGCACATTTAATTATTATTCAGAATTGGCCTGGAATTCTACTGTACTAAGCATAGAGATCAAGATTCGAATTTTCAGCACTAATACCGAGCCACTCAGTTATTCTACATGGTTCAGAGACAGGACATGTCATAAAAAGCATTTCCAATGGGCCACTGCAGTTTTTTATCAAGACATGCCTTCTCTGGTTCCACAGTGAAGATCAGATGGTCCTAAAGAATCAGTAATAAGAGACTCTGGCAACGAACAAACGAAGAACCTATTACCCTACAAATATCTCGAAGGAAATGGAGATGGATAGGAGACACACGATGAATCGATCGTTGAAGGATATCGCGCACCAAACCATCTGTCGAATGGGTAACGAAGAATCGGGCGTTAGTTCGAGAAGATATGGAGGAGATCGTGTGAGAAGGAGGTGAAAGCTTATAAGAAATCGTGGAGTCAGTAAAAGACGACCTCAGAGAACAGAATGAAATATGAAGATGCACCGTGGAAGCACTATGTTCCACTCGGAAACCAAGAGAATAATAATAATGTGGATATTCCTAACATTGACAGAGTAAATGTGTTAGATTGTCAATGAACCGTAGTTTTTCACATTTAGTCAATTGTTGTAAGCATAATTCTTGCGAAAATAGTAGATCTACTTACCTGACAGCAATAACATTTCAGCATTTCTCATTTCTGGTGTAGGCAAACTTTTGATATATCTTATATATTCCACTTTATCGATCTTGATAATTATAAGAGGGATAAAGTACAAATTTAAAACATTTTAGAATAATACATAATAGATTAAAATTGGGCAAAATGTAAGCAGACAATAAGTTTATTATTGGGAGAATTTGATAGATCACTGATGATACCTCCATCATTCATAATACAATCAGACAAAACAAAATGATTCACAGAAGAGACTCTTTTCAACGAATTTATCACCAAGCTGTAAAATCGTATATATATGGTTTTTAAGAAGTTTTATCCTGTGAGGGAATTGAATCATAGGTGTGGATGCATAAAATAATAATATACACATTGGGTCATAGGAGTTAATAAAAAGACAATTGCAGCGAAGAAAATTTTCTTTTCGACGAAGTCATCATCTAGGCTGTACATTCGTGTATTTATATCAAATGGATAGGAAAGTTCCAGAATAATTTCTGGTTAGGGGTCAAATTAAAATGACATAACAAACAGGGGGGATGGGTAAAACTCGAACAAAGTAGCATTATAATAACTAAGAAGATTGACATTGTGCAATTGGGGGTTAGAAATGTAGAAATAACAAAATATACAGGATGTTTGGATAAAATAATAATAATAATAATATGAAATGCAAAAATATAAGGATACCCACTCCAGATCTGAAAGAACAATTTCTGAGATGTACACACTGAATGTACAGTTTACTTTCAATTAAGCAATCTACAAACAGAAGGATGGTATTGCAATGGGTTCTCCCTTGGGTCCTCTCCTTGCAGACTGTTTTATGTCCAGTCTAAAAAATGATCAGCTGAAGCCTATAATCCGAAGCTTTCAAATGTATAAAAGGTATTTACATGACACCTTTATTATCTGTAATATTGATTGTAACTTGAATAATATATTAGATGTATTTAATGGTGGCTATCCGGCGATAAAATTCACACTGGAAATGGAGAACGAGTCTAGCATTCATTTCCTCGATGTGAACTTATCAAGGAGGAGCGATGGAACTCTGAAGAGATTGATTTATCGTAAGCTGTCATGGAATGGTCAACTGACAAATTTCTACAGCTGGGTACCCTTCAGAGTCATCTACAAGGCAAAGAGTAATTTACCCAAATCCCTACGTACTCGACTCATCTGTATCGCTGAAGCTTTGGCTATCGAAACAGAAAAGCCAGACAGATCTCTGTGTACAGAAAAAGTTCCTTCAACCCCTCCAACTTTCATGGTCTTAATCCCTCTATGTTAGAGTATGGTAATCCCCAATCATATTTTAGCTCTACCAATTTTTCATTTTTCCATTTTGTCTATTCAATTTGTATTCTCTTCCTTTATTACTTCAATTGTTACTATTACTACTCTCACTTTTAATTGTCCTCGGTATTATTTCATTTGTTCCACTTGTCATTCTAAATCAATTCCTTTTTACAACATTAAATTCTATGCTATTAAATTTCACACAATATTACGTAATGTTTTTGTTTTATTCGATTTGTCTACTAATCTTATAATTGCACACCTTTTTCAAGTTCTATTCATCCTATGAATTATTCTATATATGACTCTAATTTGCTTTGCCACTTGACATTTAACTACGATTATCATCACAAACATTTTAGTTTTAATTGCATTTCATACTACTATTATTATTATTTTATGCATTCACACCTATGATTCAATTCCCTCACCGGATATAACTTCTTAAAAGACCATATATATGTACGATTGTACAGCTCGATGATGAATTCATTGAAAAGAGTCTCTTCGCTGAATCACTTGTTTTGATTTTCTATATGTTACAATGGGAATTTTCCATGATTTAAAACAAAATGACTGATTTCATTTGAAATCTAATTTATACAGGTTTTTCGAAAGTTTATCTCTTTAGAAAATGCTGAAATTTAATCAGTCAGAATGTATTTTAGTTTTCATCCACGACAAATAGTTCATAATAGCTTCTGGAATATCAAACTAATGACTCGATATATTGTATACTTAAGTTGTGTGGTACCGTTTATTATTGTTATTTTTTCCTTTAATTCCTAGAGGAACATAGGGCTTCAGCCGTGCGTCTCTATCGCGTTCGCTTCTCTGCTAGAGTCTTCACCTGGCTACAAGTCTGCCCACACGTTTTCATCTCCTCTTCACATGACCTCCTCCAAGTCACCCACCCTCGCACTGACGACCAACTCGCCGCTTCCAATACAGTCGGGTTCCACTCGAGCAATGGCTTGTCTAGTGATGTCACTCACTTGATGGTTTGTCTCCTCAGAGTATGGCCAGCCAATCCATCTCCATTTCTTCCTGCAGATTCATCGCTTAATCGGTTCCTGGTTGGCTCGCTCCCAGACATCTCTGTTGCTGATCTTTTCTGGCCGGCCATCTGATCTTGAGTGGTATTGAGCGAAGACAACTGTTAATGAAGGTCTGTAGTTTGTTTGAGATGCTCTTTATGATGCGCAGTGCAAGTCTCTGATCCGTATAGTGAGTAGCACTGACTGACTTGACATTGGAGTTGAAAATCCGGATCTAATCTTCATTTTGATGCTGAGTGCTGATGACATAGACTTGAGAGTAGTGAAAGCTTGTCTTGCTTTCTCAATCCTCGTTTTGATATCCTCGTCAGTTCTGTGCGCCTGTAGTTGAAACGATGCTTCCCGAGTGGGTAGGTAAAAGAGGTTGTTTCTTTCAGGTTCCTTCCATTTATGCTGATTGTTGTCTGTTGTTGCTGTTGGTGGTGTTGCCCAGGAATCTCCATCACCTCTGTTTTCTCTATGTTCACCTGAAGTCCTATCTTCTCTAGATGCTTCTTCTTCCAACTTGTTGCTTTTCACTTGCATATCTTCCAGTTTGTAGGAAATCAGACATATATCATCGGCAAAGTCCAAATCCTCCAAGTTTTTCGTTGTGGTACCGTTTAGACGTCCTTATAAGTATTCTTGGATAAATTAAATAACATGCCGACCAGTTAATCAATATAGAACGTTTTATTCAAGTCCAGTATGAGGATATATACTTGCTAATAGAGTTTAGTGGCAGTAGGAATATATATAGAGAATTGAATTCTGACTCAGTAAGGGAATGATAACGTGTGTACGCCCCGTGAATCTTAAGGTCATAGGTTTGAGTCATAGTGTGGTGACAAAAGTACGCTGTCGATGAATTACGAAACAAGGAGGAAATAACTGTTTATTGCTCTCTGATTCGTGAAGAAATCTACCTAGAATAGAATCAGTTTTAGTTTCTACTCAAAGTTTGTCCTAGTGGTGGTACATTTCATTCACGCTAATAATATCTCAGGGAATACGAATAAATCATTACAACGGAATGCAGCTAAAGCCAGGCTAGTAATTCGTAGGCAGTTGTTTAGAATCCTGCGACAGCTTATATTTTCATTCCAATTTCAGACGTTACCTATCACATTTGTTTCCAACCGTATAATGAAGGCTAGGGTGGCATACATCAACTTGAGCCACCTCTGGCGCCATCACGACGTTAGCCTGGCTGTCAAAGGTGAGGGCTGTCTTGCTCTACGCCTGTGAAACCTGGTCTCTCTGAGCTGAGGATGTGCGGTGACTCTGTGTTTTCGATCATCGTTGTCTCCGCAGGATTGCTTGCGTTCGATGGCATAATAGCGTGAGTAATTCTGAGGTTCGGCGGCGTGTGTTTGAACACAGTGGAGATCACCATTCATTGAGTGTCGTCATCTGGAAATACCGGCTCCAGTGGCTTGGACATGTGCCGCGGATGTCATCCCAGAGGCTTCCGTACAGGTCCCTGTTCGCTAGCCCAGGGACGGGACAGAAAAGGCGGAGGGGTGGTCAGTCCATGACGTGGCGTAGTGGGATGAAGGATATTTGTGCTAGATTAGCATTACATTAGAAGGCTCTACGCATCATCATCGAACAAAGCAAGGAATGGCAATCAAACCTCTACCTCAAATTTATAGACTTTGAGAAGGCCTTCGACAGCGCTGACCGCGAAGTAATTTGGAAACTACTCGCGTACTATGGCGTACCCCAAATATTCATCAACCTTATTCAACAGCTGTACGACAACGGCACATGTCAAGTGATCCACAACGGAAAATTCAGCGAGGCGTTTGGAGTAAAAACACAGGAGTCAGACAAGGGTGCTTATTATCACCAATGATATTCCTAATTGTGGTGGACTGGACTGGATTATGCGTCAGACAGTGGGAAACGAGAAGACAGGGATATCCTCGAACCACGTGAAGAACCTAGAAGACCTGGATTTCGCGCGTGGATGATTTATGCTTGATGTCACACAAAATCGAGGACTTACAAGCGAAAAACGACAAATTGGTCGAAGATGCAGCCAGAGAAGACAGGACTCCAGGTGAACACAGACAAGACGGAGGTTATGAAAATAACCAACCAACCAACAACAACAGCAGCAACATCCAGCGCCAATCACCATCAACGGGAGGGATTTCAAAGAGGTTACTTCATTTACTCAATTATCTAGGTAGCGTTGTCTCAATTACAGGCAGGTGGAACGGACGAGGATGTCAAATGGAGAATTGGGAAGGCGAGAAACACATTCATCAACCTGAAACCAATCTGGAAATCTTCGTCACTCAACCCAGCCAGCATCAACAACAAAATTCGGATTTTCAATACAAACGTCAAGTCAAGTCAGTTCTTCTATACGGATGGATCAGAAACTTGGCCAGTGGGTCACAAAGAATATTTCCAACAGCGTGTCGCAGACCTTTATCAACAACTAACTGTCTTCGCTGGCTCTATACTGAAGATCAGATGGCCGGAAAGAACAAGAACCAACAAGAAACAAACTATGGGAACAAACAAAACAAGAACCAATCGCCCAACAAAATATGCAGGAGAAAGTGGAGATGGATTGGACACTCACTGGCTGAGGAGGCCACTCACTGGGTGACAACGCGCGTCAGGCCATAGCTCGAGTGGAACCCGAAATGGAAGCGACGAGTGGGACGTCAGTGCAAGGGTGACATAGAGGAGATCGTGTGAAGAGGAGTTGAAACAGTATGGAATAACATGGATGCAGGTGAAAAGTACAGCAGAAGACAGAAGCGAGTGGAGACGTGTAGTTGAAGCCGTATGTTCCACTAGGAACCCAAGGGAACAGTAATAATAATCATGAGTGAAATCCAGCATGCGCATTTCGTCCTATATCAGACCTCAGAGTTGTATGTATCTGCATCCCCAGCTAGAGATGTGTGGTGTTACCAGTGAGACTCGAACTCAGCACCAGTGTGAATCATTCGCCTAGTCCGTAACACTGTAAAGTTTGAAAAGATGCGAGTTTTTTTATTTTTGATTACAGCTTGATGCCACACCGTATTTTTAGGTATAGGTATGGAATTTTCAGCATGGATATCGGTAGCCCAATATTTGCAGGCCGACCATTGATATCGGGTGTGCGCCGGCAGAGGGTCGAACTCCGGACCATGTGCATGATCGGCGAGAGTCCTAACCACTGTGCCACCGACGCTTCCTAGTCACTCACATTGGAAACATCATACATTAGTAAAATGGAGATGCAACTGCATCCAGTTGATAAGTCCCAAATAAGACGAAATGTGAAATGTGCTTGATTCCATCTCCTAGCTACCATCAATATAGGTAATGATGAATGCTAAATTTAATATGTAAGTGAAGTTCAAAGCAAATTATAACTTACTTCTTCAATTTGAGCAAAAGCGATCTCAGCTACATCTAGAGATTTAGCATTTGTCGCCAATCCTGCTAAACATGCCCATAGCATTTTCTCCTGTATTTTAAAAATGTAAAATTAGAATTTTATACAAAAATATCTTAAATATGTTTGACATTATTCTTTATTTTTTTTCATTTCAAATATGTAAAGTAATACAGTTAATTATTTTATTTATACATACTCCTGTTTTCCGACTTGTCGGTAAATATTATCAAGAGTTTGGTTCTAGGGATTTTATTTGTTTCAAGTTTGACCATGAATAATAATAATAATAACAATACTAATAATAATTTGCTTTATTCCAGAAACAGTACCAGTGGTACAGTGTGGAATTTTCAGCACATATCTACAATATTTGCATCTAATTTTATCAAACATTTAAAAGGAGTATTTTAAAAAAAATAAATACAAAGACAACAACAAAAAAAACAAAAACACAAAAATAAAAAAATGAGAAAAAAATACCAAGAAGTAGAAAGAAAAATAAACAGCATTTAATAATAACTCAGTATTGGGTAGTGGAAGCTATGATATGATTATGCATGGTGACAGTAAAGCTATAGTCATACAAGAGGTTATGAAATGATATAAAAGAATGTTTATCGCCAAGATGGTCAGTTAATTTGGTTGAACAAACATTAAACAAACATAAAATAACATTTCAGGGTTGTTGTTCTGTTTTTTATAGTCAAGTCTAATGCAGTTTTTGTAGTGGTAGTGTGAGTAATCCTGCATAATACAAAATTTTAAGATGGTGGTAATGGCGTTCACAACCAATGATTGTCAGTTAATATTGCCAAACAAAAAAACAACAACCACAAAACTAATAATTACATGATGGTTAATGAAAGGACAATTTTGTACTACTCATAGTGCTAATATAGTCGGAACCAGTGGATACACAAAAGAAGGAATACAATAAAGTACAAAAAAGTAAGCCAATGTTAATAATTTAGGTAGCTAAGTATGTTTAAGAAGGAGTTCACTATAGAATACAAAATAAGAGAGAAATAAAAGAGCCTAAAATTATGTTATTAACAACAAAGAAAGTCATAGGTTTCACGCTTAACATTGTCTCTGTCACTTAGAACACGGGCCAAATATGGTATCGTTGAGTTCCTGTGCTTGGTTGTACGAGCATAGACTATTTTATACTGATTTCTGGTTCTACTTGATGAGATACAAGGTGAGAGTTGGGAATAGAGGGGGTGTTCGGGGTCGGAGAGTATGGTTCGAGACCATTTTTCGCATGTATTCAGATGCCTATCAACTAAAGTAGTGACAAGCTGACTGAGTTTTACACCACTAGTCCTACTAACTACCTTCAACATCCTTCTGAGGATGGTGTAGTCCTTTTTCAGTAGCCAAAGAAAGATTAACGGGGAGCAGTAAAGTAGAATAGGTAAGATACAAGAGTTGACAAATTGTGAAAGTAGAGGTTGGGTGATTCCAGATAGTCTAAGATTCCTAATGTAGTAGGTTAGACAGAACACTTTCTTAGAAATCGTTAGGATATGAGATGTCTAAGTAAGGTCGGAAGATAGAACTAGACCTAGGTATTTAGCATTAGACTTAGTTTCAATTTTAGTCCCCTCAATGCAACAGTCTTCATGAGAACTTACTAGTGTTTGTAGATCTCGTTTATGCCTAAGGGAGAAGTCAATAGTCTGGCATTTTGAGGGATTCAGCATGAGACCATGAACTGGTGTCTGTTAGAGAACCACTATTGGAAACCAAGGAGTACTGGACAGATATTTCCTCCTAGTTTAGGACTCACTGGCAGTATGCACCCACAGGTTTTTGCACCTAGGACCATCCGGTTACAAGGGAAGCTCGTAGACCATTCAGTCACTGGGACCCGACTCAATGGCCAGCCTATGAATTCTAACTTCTACCGATTCGTGACTTTAGCACGAAAACACCAGTCGATGTCTATGGCGAGTATTTGTCCTCACTTATGACCACATGGACCCCAGTCGTCATGACTTCTTATTATAACTCCAGGCAACTTCGTCCTGCAGCCAGTCACTAGCGAGTATCAAATTAATTTTCAGTACTCACCGATGACACTGGCTGGTGGCTGGCGCTAAAATCACGAATTCGTAGAAGTTGGAATTCATCAGCAATTAGATCGGGTCCCAGTAGCTTATTGGTTTATGAGCTTGCCTTGTAACCAGAAGGTACTGGGGGTTCGAACTGTGGTGAGTGCGTGCTGACGAAGAGTCCCAAACTAGTACTCAAAACGGCTATCAAATACTCCCAGGTTTCCCAATGGTTCTCTAACCGATTTCAGCTCATGATGGAATCCTGTAATCATCTAGTGAATATTTTTTTATTATAATACTCTGCTTACTACTTTACTCATAATTGTTGATTGTTGCTTCGTGAAAGGTGAGTACTGTTATAACAAAGACAATTAAACTTAACAATTATATATCCTAATATCATCTACCATCCTTCAATTACTATCCCGGATATCCTAGGAACCTGAACAATGATAACAATTTTTTATTGGAATATTGCTTACCAGTTTTATTTCACATTTCCCAAATAAACATAAATCTAAAAAGATTATAGGTTTCCAGGCCATAGGTGTTACGAACTTCCTGGAATAATTTGAGCGCCGAGTCAGATTGACTCATTATAAATTATTTAAATTAATCCCAGCGTGTTAAGAAAATCAAAACGAGATTTTTTTTGAACGTTTCGCTGTGTAAGCCACAGCTTCTTCAGCAGATTTATTCGGATTTTTATTAATCATCAAAATATATAGTCAAAAATTTTACATAAATTGAAGTAAGTTTCTATTGGTAAATGTCCATGGACAAATGACCTTCAAATAAACTGACTTCAATTTATGTAAAATTTTTGACTATATATTTTGATGATTAATAAAAATCCGAATAAATCTGCTGAAGAAGCTGTGACTTTTTTGATTTGACACTAGTAACTAGTGTGATGCGTCTAGTCCTCTCTTTGGTGCAGACTGAATTCTATCAGTCAGGTTGTAATGTGGCCACCATTCTAGGTAGCTCGCCATCCACTACAGTCCTACAGGAGGTCAATCGCGAGCCCGAATAGCTCAGTGGTAACGTCTCTGACTGCAGCACTGGGTGACGCCGGTTCGAATCTCAGAAGGGACATGAGTTCCTTCAAGGTTGCAGATACGCCCTTCTGAAGAGTGCCAACTAGCACGAAACCTAGGTTCAAGGCTTCCTGCTGATTGCCTCCAACCATCTAATATCATCACAAGCTGTGGCTTACACAGCGAAACGTTCAGAAAAATCTTGTTTTGATTTTCTTTACACGCTAGGATTAATTTAAATAATTTATAATAAATCTAAAAAGACTGGCTATTGAACAAAGAATATTCTTTTCGATAACCTCTTCATCAGATCCTACAGTTACATCTGCTCGGACACACCTACTAGTGTGATCGATAACAAAGATCATTAATACTTCAGTATCAGATCGTCTACTTCAATCAAACACATCATAAAAGTCAATATTGACAGTTTTATTCTAACATCTATCCGACATCAAATAAAAATCAACAAAAGCTCCAAGGCATAGAATAGTCCCGAGGGAGCAAACGCTATCGCAATTCGCATAAAACAACCGGTGATCTTTGTGCAAAAGAAACACATCCAACCATTACTGCCACCCTGGTCTAACAATTGTGTAACCTACAAATTCATATATTCTGTATTACTTTCTTCTTAATTCATCTCATATTCAGTTTAATATTAGAATTTTATGCATATTGTCACTTAATAATAATAACAATTTTTGCTTTATTCCAAAAACAGTACTAATGATACAGCAAGGAATTTTCAGCATTCAGTACAATATTGCATCTAATTTACTCAAAAACGACAACAACAAAAAGAAATAAAAGAAATAATCATTACATAATAATGATAACAAAAGGTTTTTATAGCAGCTATTTAGCAAATTACTGTATGCAATACGGAGAAAAATACGCATAAAGTATAAAATTATAGTAATAATAGTAATAACAACTAAAATAAAAATAGCCAAGTTATAATTAAACGATAGAAAGGGTGACACCATAAAATTACAGAATGATGAACAATGAAAGGGTCGATTCACTTTGCTAATTACCTAGTAACTTATATGTTTCACGTCTAACAGAGTCTTCATCACATAAAATACGGGCTAAATATGGTATTGTAGAATTTTTGTACTTAGTGGTTCGAGCATATAATTTCTTATATTGACTTCTTGTCCTACTTGATGAGATACAAGGGGATAGTTGTGAATAAAGGGGGTGGAGAGGGTCTGACAGTACGGCCTTTGCCCATTTTGTACAGGAATTTATGTGTCTCTCGATTATAATATTGGCGAGCTCACGCAGTGGCAAACCACAAGCCCTACTCACAGAATTTAATACCCTTCGTAATATGACATAGTCTTTTTTGAGAAGCCCAGGAAAGATTAATGGAGAGTAATAGAGTAGGTACAATAGGTAAAATACAGGAGTTTAAAAATTGCAGAACTAAAGGTTGGTTGATACCTGATTGTCTTAACTTTTTAATGTAGAAGGTAAGACGAAACAGGTGCTTTAGAACTGTAATGTATTCATCTAATTGGTTCAATATTATTTAAAACCATTATGTTGTATATATATAACAATAATTCTTTAATTATTATCGTTATATAACTGTAAAACCTGATGAATAAGTTATCGAAAAGAGAATGAATACTCTTCGTTTACAAATCAGTCTTTTACAATTTTTAAGGGGGAATCTTTAATCAGCTAAAATCAGTTTGAAATTATGTCCAATGTAGAAGAAAACAGACATAGGATGGGGATGTATCAATCTTTGATTGCACCAAAGACTATGCTGTTCGTGATTTAGTTTGTTACTTTTTTTGTTTTTCCATAACTAGACTTGAACTCAACGCACTATTACGTAACTGACTAGTTACTTATCATCAACTTCTCATCTGTTTTTCTGATTGTGCAGCTCAGTTTTCAGTTTTTTTTTGTTTCCTTCACGTTCCCCAGTGGAACATAGGGCTTCAAACTAGTGGCTTGAAGTTTCCGTAGCAGTGTTCAATTTTACAGGATGGGGTCGCTAGCCTCATGCCCAACCTTTCCTCTTTACCAGCATTATTTCTGGCTTAGCGAGGTAAGGGAGGAGTGCGTCGGCCGGGGATCGAACCCCGGACCATGTGGATGGTCGGCGAGCGTCCTAAACGCTATACCACCGACGCACCAGTTTTCAGTGTATCACACTATTAATTTTATGTTTGAAGGATGGGCCTTTAAAGGATGTTATTAATGAACTCGAATTTTATTGTCGATAAATGGATGATATTTTTTGATTATGAAGAACGAAAAGGAAGCAAAGAACATCCTGGATAAATTTAATGAGGTATATCCTGCAATAAATTTTACTATTGGGAAAGAAAAAGACTCTAGTATCTCATTTCTAGACGTCCTTATGACCAGAAAAGAGGATGGCGCAATAAGAAGAAGTGTTTATAGAAAACCTACATCAACGGGCCAGTACACACATTTCCACAGCTTTGTGCCCTAGAAATACAAACGCAATCTAATAAAGTGCTTGGTCCACAGAGCAAGAGCAATTTGCTCGGATGAATGTCTTGACGAGGAACTTAACAATATTAAACAGTTGCTAAGTGAGAATGGTTATCATGAAAAGTTTATTGATAAGAATATGAATCTGAAACTAAAACAGCCCAAGTTACCAACAGTTCCAAAAAAGGCCTTGTTCTTACAAATGCAGTTCCTAGGAGACAACACCAGTGAGATACTAACAAATCGCCTTAGAAATGCGGTAAAAAGAGCATTCCCTGCTGCTCAATTACGCTGTATCTTTAAAACCACTCCTCTTCTGCGTTCGGGAGTAAAAGACAAACTGCCTAATTTCGCCTCTTCCATGTGTATATACCAATTTAACTGCTCATGTGGAGCCAGTTGCATAGGCCGTACAATTAGGCGTGTTTCTCGTCGAATTTCCGAACATCACTCTGCCTGGTTAAGCAAAGGACAAACAAAATCTATTTGCAGCGCTATTCTGGCTCATCTGGTGGAGACAGAACACAACATTGACGTTAATCATGCTTTCAGGGTCATTTACCGCATACCTACGAATCTCAATTTCGCTTTAAGAGTTCGACTAATAAATATTTCTGAGGCTATGGGGATCCATGTTAACAAGCCTTATTTATGCATCCAAAAGGATTTAGTTCACACATTGTCCTTACCTCGTCTGTCTAGGTTTGAATGATCATAAATTTTTGTGGAATTTTCCTAATTTTAGTTTACATTCTCTTCGCTGCTATATCGTTATTATTATAATTATAATTTAAGCATCTTTAATGAACTGTAATTCCATTGTGATCATACTTTACAAATCGATATTATTTAAAAAACGCTAAAATTGTTACTAACTACTAATTTAAATTATTCTGTGTATATAAAGAGATAAATAATTGTAGAGCTTGGAAGAGGAATTTATCGAAAAGAATATTCTTTGCTCGATCATTTTGTGTTTTAAGTTATATATGTAGCTTCTGAGAATCGTTTATTAATCTTGTGTCACTATTAATCAAAAATCATATAACCCTTTCAAATATGTTAAAATTTCCCTGTACATATGTGGTGAGAGCTGATTGCAAGCCAAAATTATACACAACAGTTTACGTGAATGTATACGTCCCGAATCAGGGTCATGAGAAAAACAATAACAAAGCTTAACCTTGAGGAACTCACCAACCAACCACAGCAGACTTAACATGTGCTAATAAGATTCGCAGATATATGGCTTAACTTTCTAAGAAACGGTCACAAGCAGTACAGAATTACCTTCAGTAAGAAAACAACCAATCAGAAGACGTTGCTTCTCTACTAATAATAACGTACATAAAAATCTATAAATATCTGTTGATTTTCTCAATAAACGATCTGTTGCCTGGCCCTTGTCTTCTGTCGTTACACATATACATAATTAACTTTCAGGTTGTAGTCAGCTGAAGAGAAACTAACGAAATAAATGGTAGACTCATCTTATTCTGCATGGATGTTTGTTTATGCTTTGTTTAAATTCGTAAAGGAGAATGAGGTAACTTTCGAGCACTCTAGTAAATAAAAATGAAGTCAACTTATCTTTCTAAAACTGTTCATAGAGCGCTATTCAAACTTCATTTTACCCATAATCAAGCCAGTATGGGTTCAATAAGTACGTGTTACACAAATTCCAAACAAAATTGTCATAGGATTTTCATCATGAGCTGACATTAGTTAGAGAACCATTGGAAAACGTGGGAGTACTGGACAGCTGTTTTGTACTAGTTTGAGACTCTTCATCAGTACGCACCCACCGCGGGATTCGAACCCAGGACCTTCTGGTTACAAGGCGAGCTCGTAGACCATTGAGTCATTGGGACCCAATCCAATGGTCCTTGAATTCTAACTTCTGCCAATTCACGACATATTAATGAGATGCTCACTAGCGACTGGCCCCATTCAGGTAGGTAGTTACCTGGGGTTCTAGTGAGAAGTCGTGACCAGTAGGGTGCAGAAGGTCGGATGTGAGGACAAATACTCGCCGAAGACACTGGCTGGGGGTCACTCTGTGTCGTGAATTGGCAGAAGTTAGAATTCATGGGCCATTGGATCGGGTCCCAGTGGCTTAATGGTATACGAGCTCGCCTTGTAACCAGAAGGTCCTGGGTTCGAACCCCACAGTGTCGGTGCGTACTGATGAAGAGTCCCAAACTAGGACGAAACAGCTGTCCAGTACTCCCAGGTTTCCCGATGGTTTTCTAACCAATGTCAGCTCATGATGAAAATCCTGTAACCAATCAACCAAATCCCTACAAACCAACACTTGAAAATTGTTATTAGCTTTCCATCATACAATTTTATGCAATAAAAAAATACACTACAATAACATTCATAACTTTACCTTAACTGTCCAACATAAACTCAACGCTTCATTCCATTTATTTTGTCCAATTAATTGATGCAGTTTATCAGGATAAATCGACACTGGACAGTAGACAATAGTTCCATCAGCACGTCTTATCATAATTCGATCACGATAAAAGTTGATCAGTTCAGCCTGTTTTCCATAATCATCACTATAGGATTTTAAAAGTTAAATAATAATATTTTACTAAAGAGATGCATGATATTGCATATATATACTACTCACTGATTAGCATAAGTAGATGAACACTACTCACAAATAACCAATAGTGAGTACTTACCAGACTGAAGTGATCTAAACACTTGACAGCTGTTTCAGTTATGTTTGAGACTGAGGTCATCAGTGATGTACCCTTTTTGAGTCATTTCGGAGAGAAGACGTTCAGCGAAGAGACTCTTTTCGGTGAATTCATTCACATAGCTGTCCAACTCCAAAATATCCTTTCTTGACGTCCAACTAACAAGACGAGAACAGGATGGAACACTGAAAAGGTCTATCCACAGAAAGTCGACGTGGAACGGACAGCTTACTAACTTTCACAGTTGGGTACCCCTATACACCAAACGAAACCTGATCCGCTCACTCAGCTACAGAGTTCGCAGAATTTGCACCCCGGACACCATAGAAGATGAACTGGACAATCTCAAGAGAATCCTCGTCGAGAATTGTTATCCAGAAAGATTTATTGCAAAATCTATGAATCCTAGACCACAAAAGCCGCCCATACTTAGCGTCCAGAAAAAACTACTCTACATGAACCTTCAATTCAATGGAGATATATCTGCGGAAACAATAAAAAATCGACTGTCGCGCTCACTTAAGAAGACCTTCTTCGCAGTTGAACTACGACTAACCTTCTCCAAAAAACCTATGATTCATGTGAACGTGAAGGATAATCTACCGCTGCTGGCCTCATCAATGTGTATTTATCAATTCACTTGCTTGTGTGGAGCCAGGTATGTCGGCTGTACCCAGCGCTCGCTTTCCAAACGTATCACCGAACACTTACCAACATGATTTTACAAAGGAGAAAATAGATGCCCCCACCGCAGTTCCATCTTAGAACATCTGATAGAATCCGGACACCAAGCTACACCGCAAACAAACTTCAAAGTCGTCTACAGAGTAAGAAGTAGTCTTCCTAAAGGTGTACGAATCAGACTTCTTCAAACTGCAGAAGCAATGGAGATTCACTTGCTAAGTTCTGAACTCTGCATACAGAAGAAGTTCGTTCAATCACTATACTTGCAATGGACGTAATCTATCTTATTAGCCGACAAGTAAATTCTATATTAGATCATTCTCGTATTGCCTGATCAATTATCTAAACTTGACAAACCTCATGTACACACACACACACAAAATGATTGTATATAAATGCGATTGTACAGCTATGTGAATGAATTCGCCGTCGAAAAGAGTCTCTTCGCTGAACGTCTTCTCTTTTTCATATGACTCAATGAGGATTTTCAAGCTACTCATTTCGGAGATCCGAACTACCAAATTTCTGGCTAGCTACTTGAGCAAACTGGTAAATTTACAATCTGCAAATTACACAGTTGGAAGGAGGAAATTTCACTAATGTTACCTTTGTAAACCAAAATTATTATTATTCTGATCACACAATATATGTGATCTGCTTGATACCAATAATGGTAATCAAGAAACCAAGCATAAAATGCATGGCACTATATACTACTGAATAATTGAGATGAGTAGTCGTACACCCCCCATATCAACCAGTAATATTTGCTAGCCAACCAGATCGAACTGATATTATCCGGGTTACCCAAACCTCAGTAGTTAGAAGACCGTTTGAAATCACCATCCAAATGACCACACCTCCACTTACTGTCACTTATTTTGAAGCAATGGAGATAACCTGTAACTCAAGCAGGCAATTTTTTGATATAACTGTTTTGTCTGAGCTGAGTAATTTATTTAAGAAGCTTTCATCACCCAGCTAGACAGTACCTTCAGAGCTTACTTTTATGTGGAGTGAGCTCGTTTTAGGAATTCTCCATTAATATTTGTAACTGTTCTTCATGATGTCCTTGACTGTGATTGGATATCTTCAGAAATTTTCTTAGATTTGTGTTAACTGGTTATCAGAATTGATTATTTCATTATCACTTAGTAAGTGCATCGTATTACTATTATCATAATTATTGTTCCCTTGGGTTCCTAGTAGAAAACAGGGCTTCAACTGCACGTCTCCACTTGCTTCTGACTTCTGTTGTACTTTTCACTTGCATCCATGTTAGTCCATACTGTTTCAACTCCTCTTCACACGATCTCCTCCATGTCACCCTTGCATGACGCTCCACTCGCCTCTTCCCTTTCGGGTTCCACTCAAGCTATGGCCTGACGCGCGATGTCACCCAGCGGCCTCCTCAGCCAGCGATTGTCCAATCCATCTACACTTTCTCCTGCATATTTGTTGGGCGATTGGTTCTTGTTTTGTTTGTTCCCATAGTTTGTTTCTTGTTGGTGATTCTTTCCGGCCATCTGATCTTCAGTATAGAGCCAGCGAAGACAGTTAGTTGTTGATGAAGGTCTGCAACAGGCTGTTGGAAATATTCTTTGTGACACAATGGCCAAGTTTCTGATCCATCCGTATAGAAGAACTGACTTGACTTGACGTTTGTATTGAAAATCCGAATTTTGTTGTTGATGCTGGCTGTGTTGAGTGACGAAAATTTCCAGGTTGGTTTCAGGTTGATGAATGTGTTTCTCGCCTTCCCGATTCTCGCTCGATTTGACATCCTCGTCCGTTCCACCTGCCTGTAATTGAGACAACGCTACCTAGATAAGTGAGTGAATGGAGTAACCTGTTTCAAATCCCTCCCGTTGATGTTGATTGGAGCTGGATGTTGCTACTGCTGTTGTTGTTGTTGGTTGGTTGGTTATTTTCATAACCTCCGTCTTGTCTATGTTCACCTGGAGTCCTCTCCTCTCCAGCTACTTCTTCGACCAGTTTGTCGGTTTTCGCTTGTAAGTCTTCAATTTTGTGTGACATCAAACATAAATCATCCAGACGCGAAATCCAGGTCTTCTAGATTCTTCACGTCGGTCGCGGATATCCCTGTCTTCTCGTTTCCCACTGTCTGACGCATAATCCAGTCCAGTCCACCACAATTAGGAATATCATTGGTGATAATCAGCACCCTTGTCTGACTCCTCTGTTTACTGCAAACGCCTCGCTGAGTTTTCCGTTGTGGATGACTTGACATGTGCCGTTGTCGTACAGCTGTTGAATGAGAATGATGAATGTTTGGGGTACTCGAGTAGTTTCCAAATTAAACTGCATCGTATATCAAGAGATAATACTAGACAACAGCAACTTTAATTCTCCATTTCAAATTATAAAATCTTTCTACAGAACAATGTTATTAGGTATTAATTTACCTGATATTATGTTCTTCTTGTGTTAAATTGAATATATCACTGTCTGTTGAAGCGATGTCAGGATAAAACCAGACAACTAGTTTATCATTTGTTATCGCTGCCAACACATTCGATGTTTCAGCCCATACAAATGAAGTAACAATTGTACCTAACACAAAAAAGGAAGAAAACATCATGAGAGAAGTAAAGTTTGTTTAAATATCTTCGACTTAGCTTACATTAGTGTTTGGAATAAAACAGGACCAATCAAATATTCAGTACTAGAATAAAAGTTATCTGAAATCAACATTGTTATGATGACGGAGTGAAACTGGGTTTCGGGGGGGGGGGGGCACTGTAACCAGCTGATCACTTGAAATTATATTCCTCGACCGAGATAGACACAAAAGTGAAGTCAGGCTGTGAAAAAATTGGCGACCTTTATTAGACGAAATAAAAAATAATCTTAGAAATCTAAGCCAAAATAATAAACAAATCTGATTGGTTGTCTGACGCCGAAAATACCTCAGAAAATTAAGCCATAAATAAACGACAGTTTTTTTGTTCAGCGAAGAAATTTCTTTTCAACGACTTCATTTTCCAGCTGTACAGTCGTATTCATATTACAGAAAAAGGTTATTAAGTGGCACTAAATAATTGCTCAGTCAATATACATATATTTATGTGATAAGGATAACGATAATTAAAATGTAATAAGGGGTAGAGTTGAAGTGGATAAATTACAAAATTATCAAAGATTATTTTATAATGAATTGATATCAAAAATTTTTTTTAATGTCAAGCGTTGTCTAAAACTTTTAAAATAATTAGGAGTATGATTACGATAAGAATGAAGATGTGAAGTGAAGTGGAAAGAATTCAAGCGGTAGAATAAAATAAAGTAAAAACTAGAAAAAACATTACCATGACCAAGGTAAAGAAAGGGGTTCGACAAAACGTTTTTGAACACATAATTTAGGCTTCTGTTCATGTATAGCTAAAGCTTCAGCTATGCATAAGTGAAGAAAACGTAAACTTTTGGATCGACTCGATTTTACCATGTAGATGACTTCGCAGTTCTACGTTCGCCTTTCATTAACCAGACTGGATAGCGTTCAGCTACACGTTTTCGGAGATTACGCTTACAACGTCCAATATAAACAGCTCCACAAGAGCAGGTAGAAGAGTAAATACACATAGATGTGGACATAAGCGGTAATCTATCCCTGACGCATTGTCTAATCATATTTCGGCTGGTAAAAACTAGTTGTAAGTCAGCTGCAGGAAAATGCGTTTAATACATTTATATAAACGATTTTTAATTAATTCCGAAATGGTGTCACCTTTGAATGCCAGACTCATAAAGTTTCTTATTCGGCACTGTGATTTGTCTAGGGGCGGATTCTTTCTTGATGTTACGTTCGATAAACCTTGTAGGATAACCATTGTTAAGGAGACTTGATAAATAAACGAATTAGAACTGTGCAATAAGGATATCATGAAGTACATGCACAAATCATGACCTCTCGGCCAATGAAGAAGCTTTTCCATCTTAACAAATATCTAGAGCTGTTAAAATGAGAACTATAAACCGTATTCATCCGTATTCATTGTCTACAAGTTTGTTGAAGCTATTCACCAGTGCACACCAGCAGCAATCTGGCTGGGGATCGAGTTCATAGTTATTAGGTTGTGATAGTGATTTCAAAAAATACCAGTACTTGAAATTAGTGTCCTAGTTATTATCTGTGATATGAAATTTTCGAAGTTCTGATAAGAAATTTTCTTCAATAAACTTACTTACTTAGTTTGATGGGAGAACAAACAACCATAGATTAGAATAAGGCATTAAGAAGACAAATTTCGCGAGATGATATCATTTCGTAGTTTCCTGATATGCTGTATAAACGTTATGTGGATGATACACTAATAATTGGTAATAATAGTAAGTCTATTGAAAACTTCATTACCCTATTTAATCATATTCATCCAAATATCCGAGTGACTTCCGAACTCGAATCGAATAACAAACTCGGTTTCCTCGATATTGCAATGACCAGGAGAGATGATGGAACGATTCAGCGATCTATTTTTCGTAAACAGACATGAAGTGGACAATATCTTCATTTCACTAGTTTTGTTCCTATCCAGTATAAACGTTCCCTAGTGAAATGTTTGTTCTCAAGGGCCCGAAAAATATGCACGAGTGACACAGTGATGGATGAGTTTCTACATATACATTCACTTTTATTAGCTAATGGTTATCCGGAAAACTTTATCACTTGTCACAGTAAAGAAAGACCACATCTCGAAAAGACAGCTTCTGTACCAAAGAAAGCTATCTTTATTAACCTACCATTCAAGGGTGACCAGATTATGCAGTTGACAGCTAGCTCATAGACTTCGGTCAGCCATCAAGCCCAGACATTCTACGTCGTCGCATTTTTTTCTCACTTGCCGAACATTTTCGATCCCTGTACCTACGATTAAAGGACGAAATTCTGTGGACTCTACTTCAAACTATATCCACAAGTTCACCTGCAGTTGCGGTGACACTTGTATATAGGTAGAATCAATCGAATGTTTCAATGTCGTCAAAAAGAACATGTTCCAAAATGGTTATTAAAACATATAGAAAATCCCAATGCAATTAATTTGAATAGGAATCCAGCATCATCAATTGCAAAGCACTTATTAATGTCAGGTCACAAAATCAATATTAATGACTGTTTCACAATTACTTCACATAACTCTAATTCAAAGTTGGTTATTGAAGGTGATGGAAGCACTTTGGATTAATCACATACAGCCTAAACTGTGTGTACAAAAAACAATAGACTTCAATCTTCGCCTACCATGGACTACATGACCTATCTAAATATGATTGGTCATTAGTATGTACTTTTGTTTTTATTTAACTGAGTAATTGTCATGCATTTTATTTTATTATTGTTAACCATGTTAGTTGTAAAGCGGTTGTAAAGAAACTACGAAATGACGATGTCATCTCACGAAATTTGTCTTCTTAATGCCTTATTCAAATTTATCAAGGGGACTAATTGTTTTAACCATAGATTAGGTTGGATAATAACCAAATTATGTTGAGAGTTGATAGGAGCTGGAAAGGATGAGCAGTTAAAATTTTGGTGCGATGTATAACTGATAACCTGCTTACGTCTTATTACGACCTCAGTTCCTCGACAAGTCATAAATATGCAATCAAACTGCTAAAGAGCCTTGTTTTTATTTTGAATGACCCTTCTAATTAAGGTAAGTGGGTCACGAAATTAATTTATTATTACTAGTATGTACATACCACTCTGGTAAACCAGAAGTTTCAATTTTTTATTATATAACTCACCTGAACTTCATCATTAAGTGATGGTAATACGCATAGTGATTTAATCATATCAGGTTATGGAGTAAATTTTACTCTAACTGATCATACTACTGAAATGTTATTCAACGTTCATTTTATTCATGTTAAAAAACATTTTCATTCAAATGTTGGCATTAGATGTTAAGTAAGAAGGGAAAATCAGTTGATATATAGTTATGAAGCTTCAACGGACGTGGTGGTGGCTGGGACATGTATCACGCATACCGCAAAAACCGCCTTCATTGACGAGTGGTGTTATCTCAAGTAGAATTAGTCTGTGAAGGAGTCAGAGGTGATTAAATAAAAATACCCTATCCATCTTTGAGGTCAATAAATATTGACGAGAAACATGTAGGTAGCTGAAGATTGGTTCATTCATAGAGACCAGTGAATAAAGACTCTTGTTGAGATTGCTCAAAATCGTCTGCTCACTGTTGTCATCCTCATTCTTGAAACACAAAGCGCCCAATGAACGTCCCTGCTAGTTGAATTCAATCAGGTTACTTCAATTTCTCTGCCATTACTACCTACAAGTTGATCACGGAATTGATATCAGTTAGAGAACCATTGAAAACAAGCAGGGAGTACTGGACAGGTGTTTCATCCTAGTTTGGGAATCATCGGCAGTAAGCACCCACTGCCAGGGTTCTAACCCTGGACATTCCGGTTACAAGGCAAGCAAGCTCGTATAGCATTCAGCCACTGGGACCCGATTCAATGACTAGCCCATGAATTTTAACTTCTACCAATTCGTGATTTAGCGCGACCATTAATCAGGGTTATCGGCAGTGGGTGCATACTGCCTATGATTCCCAAAAACTAGGATGAACTAGGCTGTCCAGTACTCCTAGGTTTTCAATGGTTCTCTAACTGATATCAATCCGTGATCAACTCTTAGAAACAAAACTAATCCTTACAAACCAACTATGGAAAATTAATAACTTACGTCGGTCATTAATGTGTATATTCCATATACTGTGATTATTCCCAACTAATCAAAAACTTACCTAATTTTATGATCTTTCTTTGATTACCAAGTGTTCTAATAGACATTTGATAAAGATCTTTATTCTTGTCCAGTACAGCCAATCGACGATCAAATGAATTACCCAGCTGATTTAAACTGATTTTAAGGATTTCGTTCTTGAAGGGAAATGAAAATTTTACAAAGAAATAAATAACAACCCGTATGATAACATGAATTCAGTAGTATCTTTAACACAATATTTATTACTATTATTATAGTTTCCTTTAATTCCTACAGGAACATAGGGCTTCAGCCGCGCGTCTCCATTGCGTTTGGTTCTCTGCTACAGTCTTCACCTGGCTCCAAGTCTGCTCACACGTTTTCATCTCCTCTTCACATCACCTCCTCCAAGTCACCCTTGGACAACCAACTCGCTGCCTCCCTTTCGGTTTCCACTCGAGCGATGGCTTGTCTAGTGATGTCACTCACTTGATGGTTTGTTTCCTCAGAGTATGGCCAGCCAATCCATCTCCATTTGTTCCTGCCTATTTGTTGCACAATCGGTTCCTGGTAGGTTCGCTCCCAGAGATCCCTGTTGTTACCGAACAACACAATATTTAGTGGGTAATAACTAGCAGTCTAATCCAGGATACTCATCTCATCCTATTCAGGATTCATCAGCCGGATGTGTCTGTAGTCCCCACCACTTACCTTTTTAAACGCAAAACCATTAGGAGTGAAAATATTATCACTCACCTGGGATCAAAGATCCCAAACAGTAAAGGAACAAACATCAGCTGGATTCCACTGCTAATCACCATCAATAAAATAACATCATGATAATCCTTAGGCATTGTCAAAGCGTCCACACTAGAAGCCAACAGGTCAAAAGTGATCCAGCATTTCGGTCCGGTATAATTAACCAAAGAGAAATACAGAATTACCTTAAACAAACGTCTAGTACATCCTTAGCAGTTTGAAGATGAGGGGGACAATATGATGATTGAATCTGCATGAATCGTTTTACTAATTTGAATACTATACTATTTGACACTGTGTAGTATAACCAGTAAACAAATTATGTGGAATTACAAACCCCCAATTGTTCAACATATTAAAATGCAAGTAAGATTAAAATTCAAATTTAAATCACTATATATATGACGGATGACTGCGTGTAAACGGCGTGTTGTCATGACAACTTATTGCAGCGAAGTAAGGGTTTTCTGTCACTGAAATTTCACCCGTAAAATGTTTAAATAGAATTAATTTTTAATAAAATTGTGTAATATTTTAACGGGAGTGTTGCAAAATGTGAAATGCTTTTGTTGGTATGTTGGTCTGATTTAACTGTGGTACTCTTAAATGAATGCTGGTTTCAAGCGTTTATGTTACAGCTGAATTATGTCGAAATATTACTGCTATATATTTTTTCCAAAATGATTTAAGTTTTTTATAAAAGCTGTTCTTTTTTAACATAGATTCATTTTGTAAAGACTTCATTGGTCACATGGCAGTCACCCCTCCATCTCAACTTCATCGACTTTGAAAAGGCCTTCAGCAGACAACGTCGATCGAGAGGTGATTTGGAAACTACTTCGCTACTCCCAAGGGGTGCCACCGACAATTATACATCTCATCCAACAGCTATACGACAATGCTGCATGCCAAGTAATCCACAACGGGAAGCTCACGGAATCCTTCGAAGTGAGGACAGTAATACAAGCTGGCTGCCTACTATCGCCAATGATTTTCCTGATTGCAGTAGACTGGATAATGCGACAAACAGCGGGTAATGAGGAAACAGGCATTAAATGGACTCACACAAAAAACCAACTTGGAGGATCTGGACTTCACCGATGATATATGTTTGATTCCTCACAAACTGGAAGATATGCAAGCGAAAAGCAACAAAATGGCGATATAAGAAGCATCAAAGATAGGACTTCAGGTGAACATAGAGAAAACAGAGGTGATGAAAATTCCTGGCCAACACCATCAACAGCAACAACAACAACAGACAACAATCAGCATAAATGGAAGGAACCTGAAAGAAACAACCTCCTTCACCAACCGACCTGGGAAGCATCGTTTCAACTACAGGCTAACGGTACTGACGAGAATATCAAAGCAAGAATCGGAAAAGCAAGACAAGCTTTCACTACTCTCAAGTCTGTGTGAGGAGGTCAACAGCACTCAGCATCAAAAATAACATCCGGATTTTCAACTCCAATGTGAAGTCAGTCAGTGCTACTATACGGATCAGAGACTTGCACTGCGCGTCATAAATAGCATCTCAAACAAACTACAGACCTTCATTAACAGTTGTCTTCGCTCAATATCACTCAAGATCAGATGGCCAGCCAGAAAAGATCAGCAACAGAGATCTCTGGTGATGAGCAAACCAACACAGCAGGAACCGATTGTGAAATAAATAGGCAGGAAGAAATGGAGATGGATTGGCTGGCCATACTCTGAGGAAACAAACCATCAAGTGACATCACTAGACAAGCCATTGCTCGAGTGGGAGCCGAAAGGGAAGCGGCGAGTTGATCGTCAGTGCAAGGGTCACTTGGAGGAGGTCATGTGAAGAGGAGATGAAAACGTGTGGGTAGACTTGGAGCCAGGTGAAGACTCTAGCAGAGAACCGAACGCAATGGAGACGCACGGCAACTAAGCATTCTCGCGGTTATTTAGAGGGAAGCGCTGGTCACTTTCAGTCGTCTTGCATTTGATTAATTAAAACAAATCCCACAACATTCGTTTATTCTCCCTTTGAAGAGTAGTGAAAGCCATTGAACAAATGATATTCGCCTTCATAGAACTAAGCACCTTTTTAAAATCGAAATATTTCTGTATCGTAGATACGTAAGTGCTTTATCAGAACCTTGAATACATACACTGAATTTAAGTATTTTTTTATTGTGTTCGGTTTACTATCTTTATATTCAAATAAAACTAAATCTTGAATAATACTTCGATAACTTTTGAATTCCCCCCCCCATCGATTTTATCGTTTAAATTGTTTCCAATCTATGCTAAATATGGCGAAGTGAACATATTGTTCAATAGTTTCAATCAAGGTTAAAACTGTTATCAAAATAACATTAATTTGTAATGTGAATTAACTCAGAATAAATGAAAATTAATTCTTCTTTTTAAAGAAAAATAAACTATTACCGAATGTACAATTGGTTTCCCATCGCCTAACGCTTTTCCACTTGATGTGTCGAATAGATAAATAACTAAAGTATGAAACGAAAAACGAAATTACTAAATTATGTTACGTAATCAAATGTTTGCCTTTTACACAAATTATTTGAATAGATGTACATATATGTGTCATGAAAGCAAGAGACAGAATACACCCGTATGCCCAGACTAATTTTAATGAACTTTCTTGGTTTGTAGCCTAAAAACCCCTAAATAAAATGTCTAGTGAGGTTATTGCTGAAGAGTCTTAGACTGGGACGAAACGGCAGTTCAGTGCTCCTTATTTTTTCTTTGATTTTCCAACTCATTTTGATTCTTGACGAAATCGGTATTCAGATCAGAATAAGCTCATTTTAACTTCCTTATTTAATATTCATTTTATTTATTTATTTATTTTAGTTAATTTCTGAGGTTTCGCGCACTGTGGTTCTCTTTCAATCCAGAAGAACTAATAAGTGAAAGACAATAGAATTCTGGGGAAAGAACATCTACATGATGGTCATTACTGTCGAGAGTCAAGACGTCGTCATCATGGTAAGGGGTAGACATTTTTTGAAGTAAAGCGTGTTATGGTCAACAAAAGTTACATAAAAATGATGGTAGGTCCTATCAAGATATTATGATATTTAGCAGTGAAGATATGTGATGCGGTTTCTGCTATGAATGACTACTAATGTAAAATCCAGGCTTCTATCCCTGGTGAGTTCGCGGGTGTGCACTGCTGAAGGGTCCCAGATGATCTTCACGGTTTTGAGTGGTCGCTGATGGTTCGTGACGAAATCCACATTAAAATTAATCCAAATTCCCGCACATACCCATAATATAAAAACCAAACGTCAACTTATTGATGGCTACTAGATGGATTTCCTGTAGCAGCATTGAGAAGTCGTGATCAGTAGGGCACATCACGTCAGGATGCAGTGAATGTTTATTGAAGTCATTTGTTGAGGATAGCGCTATATGACGAATTGACAGAAGTCAGTACGCACGGGTCATTAAACTCCTATCCAAGTGGCTGGGCAGTCAAATTGTTTAGTCTCATAACCTGAAGTTCCCGAAATTTGGTCCCGAGTTGGGTCATGGGTGCGTGATGCTGAAAATCCTCAAACTAGGACGAAACAGCTATCTAGTGCTCCCTGACTTTCAACGATCTCTAACTGAGGTTGGTTCATGAGGAAATTCACATTAAAATATGACTAGTTATTAGTACGCACTTTTATTTTATACAGCTGGCTAATTGTCGCACATTTTGAAGTCAGCTGGTGGCTGGCGAGTGGCATTTCGTCGGAGCTATTCGGTCCAGTCAGTCAATAGGAAAATCTAAAATAAATTAAATAATTAATAAGACTAGTTGCACAAGAGGTGGCTTTCGTGGCCCAAGTGAATAACGCTTTGGCGTTCGGAACTATGGGCAGTGGGTTCGAGCCTCGATGGGAACACTATCACTCATTGGGGAATGCAGGTACATCAAGCTGACGAGTCCCAATTAGGACGAAATGCACATCCTGGATTCCACTCCCAGTCACTATCCACCAACTAACTTCCAGTTACATGTTCAGACATCGTCGAGGCGTCTGCACAAGGAGACAACATGCCAACCTGAGACCGAGAACTTCAGTCCAGTCAGTCAGCGGGAAAATCTCAACTGAATTAAATGACTGTCAAACATTCTTTTTTTTATTATTTTCACCCATGCTGGTTGTAAAGCAATCGTAAGCAAACTACAAAATGATACTATCTCGCAATATTTATCTTCTTAAAATTTATCAAAGGAGTTGACTAACCGTCAAAAAAATATAAATTGGAGAAAAATAAATCTGTCAAACTTTTACCTTTTTCATCTAATTTATCTTTAATTGCAATAGCATCATTACTGATTGTTAGAGAATCACTGTATAGCTGATCTGTATGCAGATTAGCATGTTTCGGTGAACAGATAAGGCGTAAATCATAATTATACACATAGACACTGGATCCATCAGCCAATGCAAAGTATCTGTCATTATAAAGAGTAATAACAATAATAATAATAATAATAATAGCTTTGTTCCCAACAGTATTTGTGGTACAGGTATGGAATTTTCAGCGTGCATTACAATATTGCATCTAATTACCTCATAAATTTTATAAGATTTTAAAAATAAAAAGCAACAACAACAAAAAGAAAAAGAGATAAATAAGAAATAAAAAAGAACAGCATTGCATTCACATATTTAAACAATGCACCACAGGGTATGAAATATAAAATTCGTGTGTAATAGAATATGTGAGCAACAATATAATAGTATCAAAGAAAGGAGAACAAAAGCTAATGGGAACTATTTGTTAGAGTGCCGCAGTAAGTTGATCGTGTCATACCTAACGGATTTCTCATCACATAACAGCTGTGCCAGACAAGGTATTGTGAAGTTTTTGTACTTGGTAGTCCTGGCATATAGGACTACCAAGTACAAAAATAGTAATAATAAAATTAATAGTAATAGTAATAATAAAATAATAATAGTAAATAATAATAATAATAGTAAATAAAAGTAATAGTAATAATAAAATTGATAAGTTTATGCTTCAGACAAACTTAGTCAATTGGCTACTTCTCAAGCATGAATAAATATACCAGGTAACTGTATACGGCAAAAACAAACGCGACAAAAGGAATGCAAAATTCATAAAGCATGAGAAAGCACATTGAAAGAAGTCTTCTTTTAGTTTACATTACTTAATGCGGGTACCGTCTCCAAATGGTAGGCGAACAGGAAATGACGAGTTAGGCGTTGGTCTGAGGGTAATGAAGAGGAAATGAAGACTTATGAGTGACTGCTGAGCCATCTAAAGTAGACCGCAGAAAACGGAGACGCGCAAATGAAGCCCTATGTTCTACTTGGAACCCAGAACATTATGATTATCTTTGGATCGATAATAATAATTTGCTTTATTCCAAAACAGTACTTCTGATACAGAATGGAATTCTCAGCACTTTTTCTACAGTATTGCATCCAGTTAGTACATTATCAATAAATAGAATTCTACATAGATTAAGGAAATCTCAGTTCATTATGACAAAAACATATTGGCATGTCGGTAGCAAAGCCAAAGTTGAACATTGTTTGAAGGTGTTAGTAAAGTAGGTGCTATCATATTTACTGGCGTAAGCGGAAGAAAGAAACAAAGCAGCACATAACGGAAGAAAAGAAAAGAGAGAGAGAAAGGGAAAAGAAAGAAAATGTTGTACCTATAAATGATATGAGTTGGAAAGACGAGATCCAGTTGTTCTACTGACTATTTAATAAGTTATAGGTATCCTGCCTAATGCTTTCTTTATCGCACAGAACACGAGCTAAGTAGGGTATGGTTGAGTTTTTGTACTTGCTGGTGCGAGCATATAGTTTTCTACATAGGTTTCTGGTTTTGCCTGATGAGACGCAAGGGGAGAATTGTGAGTGAAGAGGGTAGTGTGAGTTAGATAAAATGGATTTGGCCCATTTTTCACATGAGTCCATGTGCCTGTCAACCAGAATATTAACAAGCTGGTTAAGTGGCACGTTGCTTACCCTGCTGACAACCTTCAACATCCTGCGTAATATGATGTTATAGTCTTTCTTCAGTAGCCCTGGAAAAACTAAGGGGGAACAATAGAGAATAATAGGCAGAATGCGAGAGTTAACGAATTGTAGGAGTAAGGGTTGCGTTATACCAGAATGTTTTAACTTCTTGATGTAGAAGGTAAGACGAAATATTTTCTTAGAAATCGTCAAGATATGAGACGACCAGGAGAGATCAGAAGATAGAATGACGCCTAGGTATTTCTATTTCAGTGCCATCTATGTTGCACACCTCATGAGAGCCAACCAGTTTGTTTAGGTCAGATTTATGCCTAAAGGTGAAATTGACTGTTTGGCATTTGGAGGAGTTTAAGTTAAAACCGTTTTCCTTGGACCACTAGCTGATTTATGACAGAAAGCCATTTAGTTTAGAGCAGTCACTTTGACATTTGACAGGCAAAGATACAGTCAGGTTATCAGCATATTTGACAAAATTAATGTCATTTGAAGATGGTAAGTCATGTAGAAAGAAAGAAAAGGTAAGTGGGGAGAGTATAGCACCTTGGGGAACACCAGCTTCAGTGAGCGCAGCAGAGGAGGATTTAGTGAGGTATAGATAAATATATATCCCCATGGTTGAGTTTTGTCGGCTGAATGGTTTAACTGCGAAACATCCTCTGTCCTTCTAGATAAAGCATCTTCAGAAGAGACTTTAATATGAAGTGAACACATCTGAATTCTCCACTTGGTAACCTTGTTCGCTTAAATGTCCTCTATTGTTTAATAGCACAGCTGTCAATAGTGCCTTTATATCTTTGTTCTTTGATATAACTCTGTATCACATTGCACATTTTCTACCATTTAGTCAGTAACACCTATTCAAATGACTATACTGTCATGAAAGAAAAGAGGTATTCGGTTCAAATTCTATCGTAATTCAGGTTTAGATCCAAAAATAATAATAGTAATAATTTGATTAGACAACATTTGAAGCCTGATTTTGTGGAACTAGTCAAATTCGGTCAAAACTCACTGCCAATGATGGTTGAAGCCTCCAGAATATAGTTACGTTGAGTCAAAACTAAGAGGTGCGGTGAAGAAAATTTTCCTTTCAAAGAAGTCATCAACCAGGCAGCACATTCGTCTTCACATATATAATAAATGGGTGAGAAAGTTCGAGAACCACTTCCTATCAAATTATAACGAATAACAGATGGAAAATAAAGATTAAAAACCGTAATAATGACAAAAGACAGACAGGAATATTGGAGAAGAAAGGTAATCGGATGATGATAATAATAACTATTAAGAAATCTGACTATTTATGATGCCCATGGTTGAGACAAAGGTTGACCGTACTTCCTTTGAATACATAGTGTTCGCTTGAATTTTTGGCTCGCTAATACTTCAGCTATAATACCCAGGTGTCTTGATCTCACTCCTTGTGAAAGGTGTGATAGCATTTCGCTTAGGACTTTGAACAATTTTTTAAATAGAGCTGAGTATCCTGAGTTCATCAGATGTTCTGTTACCAAGCTATAGACACACATTCTCCCTTTGCTAGCCATGCTGAATAGTTTTCCCAAGAGAGTTTTACATACGGACGCATGGTGAGGACAACATATGAACTGATATATGGATGGTGAAGTGGCACAATGTGACAGCTTGTCTTTGACTCACTAGCCAAACAGTTTCTTAGAAGACAATGTTACTCGTAGGTCAGCAGTAAAGTATGTTTTACTGATAGATTTTGAAAGTGATTTTTGCAGAATTTCTGCTTTGATATCACTTTCGAATTAAAGATTTAGCAGCAGGACATTTGGGGAGGGGGGCAAACTAAACCTGTTTAACAGTTTTCTTTGGTTTCAGGTTCTTGTCTATATATTTTTTATTTTCGCTTACAGCTTGATTCCACACAGTACTTTTGGTAGAAGTATGGAATTTTCAGCATGGATATCGGTAGCCCAAATTTTACAGGCCGACCATAGATATCGGGTGTGCGTCGGCGGAGGATCGAACCCCGAACCATGTGCATGGTCGGTGAGAGTCCTAACCACTGTGCTACCGACGCACCATATCTCAGTAGAGGACCATTTTCTATCAAGATTATTCAGAGATCTTTTGGCTCTTCGTCAACAGATTCCTTGGTACATATCCCTAAGGAGGTAGGCAATCATAAACAGTTAATTTACTCAATAATTATTATTATCCGACTACGCTTCGTATCCAATATTCCTGTATATCTTTCGTCATTATTACGGTTTGTAATCCTTATTTTTGATCTGTTATTTGACCCACGATGAGAAGTGGTTCTGAAACTTTCTCACCCATTTATTATATGCGTAGACGAATGTGCAGCTTACTTGATAACTTCGTTGAAAGGAAAATTTTATTTGCCGCAACCGTCATTTTTAAATTTTTCTTATAATCTGATAACCATACTACGGGGTTTGAGAAATTAGGGATATAATATTAATAATAATAATAATCAAACCTACTTTTGACATTGGGCAATACAGGTCACATTGCACTCTTTGAGATCCATAATTGCAGGTGTATTGAAATTCTTTATACTAAGTAAAAAAATATTAAAATAAAAGCGGAAAAATCTCTTTAGTAATATTACTCATGACAAATATCAGTAGTAACTTCTGAGCTAGATAGTTGAATTGCTGAACGCTGAAAAAGCTGTCCATGAGAATAAAAATGCTTCATAAAAATAAATCATTCAACGCAGAGGATACAACGATAATGAGTGTACCCAATTAGGTTACAGATTTCCTCCATTATTATCATTTCAAACCAGTTATCCTTTTTAATAATGCACCGAATTTCCTAAGGATTTAACTAAAAGTCATGATGGATGAGGTTGTGAGTTCGCCTTACTGAAGTACATCGAAGAAGGAAGTATAAATTTCCTGGGGTCTTCTATCGTTATTCCATCCGGCGTTTCACTCCAATAGGAAAAATTCATTTTCTTAATTTGGTCTACTAAATGAAGTGATGAACAAATTTTTGGTAAAAGATAAACATACAAAAGATACTTTGGACAGACAATTAGACTCCAGAAGGTCTGGATTTCGCAGATGACTTATATTTAATGTCATACAAGCTCGAAGACTTACAAGCGAAATCCTACAAGCTGGCTAAAGAAGGAGCGAAGACAAGACTCCAAATGAACATAGAGTAGATGGAGGTGATGGAGATCACTAACTAACAGCAACAGGAAGAACAACCAGCACCAATTACCCTCAACAGGAGGGATTTGAAAGATGTTACTTCCTCCACTTTCCCGTCTAGGAAGCACGATTTCAACCACAGGTGAACAGCACGGATGAGGATTTCAAAGCCAGTCAGCCAGAATGGGAAAGGCAAGATACGCCTTCATCAACCTGAAACCAGTTTGCAAATCTTCTGCACTCCTCAGCATAAGGAACAAGATTCTGATTTTCAACACTAATGTCACTTCAGTCGATCCTCCTTTACGTATCAGAAACTTGGCCAGCACATTACGAAAAGCATTTCCATTAAGGTAGTGGCAGACTTTTATCAACAGCTGCCTTTACTGGTTCCATAGTGAAGATCAAATGGCCAGCCTGCAGGCCAGAAAGAATTAGCAACAAGAAACTCTGGCTGAGAACAAACTAATCAAGAGCTGATTGCTCAACAAATATGTAGGAGAAAATGGAGATGGATCGAGCATACGTTGAGGAGGCCGTCGAATGACATCTCGCGCGATACATGCGAGGGTGAAATAGAGAGGATCATGTGAAGAGATTGTGTGCAATCGTTGACCCAACTGAAGAGGACGGCAGAAAATAGAAGAAAATAGAGATGTGTTGATAAAGCCGTATGTTCCACTGGGAACCCAAGGGAATAATAATAAACAAGCAAACTGGTTTTTTTGTCGAAATATTGATTACCATGCCACGGATATACAACTCCGCATGGAATAAGCTGAATTCAGGAAAAGCAAATCATATGCTGATCGTGTTCTATCACTAAGTATCTAGACTTAACAAAGCGTAGAATAGCAGTCAAACCCCATACTTCAACTTTATCGATTCTGAAAACGCCTTCGACAGCATCGACCATGAAGTAATTTTCACACTGCTTCAACAATTTAGAGTGCCCCATATCTTTATCAACCTCATTCAGTTGCTACATATTGATGCCACATATCATGTAGTTTATAGTGGAGAACTCAGAGGAACGTTTGAAATGAACACAGGAGTAATAAAAGACCGCCTACTTTCGCCAATTATATTCCTGACTGTGGAGGACTGGATCAATAAAAATACTCTAAAAGATTTGGACTTCATGGATGATTTATGTCTAATTTCACACACATTCAATGACTTACAGGTGAAAACCAACAAGTTGGCAGGAGACGCTGGCAGCAAAGACAGGACAAAGAAAAGACGGAGATGATGAAGATACCCCGCTAGCCAACCACAACAAGTACCGGTCACCATCAACGGGAGAAATTTGAGTGAAAGGTGACTTCTCCCACTTATCCGTGCAGCATCGTTTCAACAATAGGAAGCATGGATGGCTGACTGGCTGGATGCAACATAGAACTTGGAACCAAAGTGCAGCAGTTCGAGTTGCCACGTTCCAAAGAGCACACAAAGGTAGACAAGAAGATGAGTGAAGAGAATCAATAGAGTTTTGACAAGTATAAGAGTGAAACAGAATGAGTAATGGTAGAAGGGAATATGAAAGATTGCAAAGACTGAATAAATCTGCGTAAGCCATTGACAACGATTTTGAGCCATGTCACCTATTGTCTGTCTCCAGCCATTGATTCTTACAGTCCCGAGGGCCCCAACCCGGAAGTCTGTATCTCCCTACCTGACTCAGTTTAGCTGTCAAGGAAGGATTTCATGGATTGATTGATGCCATGTTTTTGTTTGGCCACCACTTACTCTTTTCCAACCTGCACCTATATCAGGGGGTAATGCCCGTCGGAGTGGGGGAGGCGATGGTTAGGCATGCGCACCACGTCACCTAGCCATCTCAATCTATGTAACTTTATAGCCTCTTCTCTTCGATTGATTTTCCCTCTTTGCCCAACACTCTACGCCTAACGTCAACATTACTTACCTTATTATACCATCTAAGGCGAGAAAGAGATCGTAAATATCTGTGGTCAAAAACAGACAACCTTTTCATGGATGAGGATGTCAAAATCAGAATCGGGAAGGTTAAATAGACCATCATCATTGTGAAATCAGCTTGGAAATTTACTGCACTCAGCATGATCAGCAAACTTCTGACTTTCAACACATGTTTAGTCAATTGTTCTATATAGTTGAAAGACTTAGCTATCGAGTCACAGAACGCATTTCCAATAGTTTGCAGACTTTAACCAACAGCTGCCTTCGTTCAGTACTGAAGATCGTGTGACCAGAAAAGATAAGCAGAAAGTAACTGTGACAATGCAACGTACAACCTATTTTCTAACAAATATGCCAAGGAATATGGATGTGGATCGGACACACTCTGAGGAGACCGACCGCTGAGTGATATCATGCTCCAGGCTGTCGAATAGAACCTGATTCAAAAACGACGGTTTTAGTCCGATACTGACGGTGACATGGTGGAGATTGTGTGAGCAGGAGGTGAGAAAAAGAACTGTAGAGATGAGAGTAGAACGGAGAAGTGCTCCTGAAGCCCTATGTTTCACTTGGTGCCCAATGAGAACGCTAATAAAATAAAATAAACGCTAATAAATAACAAAATGATGTAAGAGGAAGAAATTTTTACAGATAGAATTGACACTCACTTGTAAACATAACATTGTGTAACTGTAACTACAATGAAATAATTATAACCGAATGACATTTTTGATACACGATCACGAAATTCCAATCGTTCAATGGATTCATTGTGTAGATTATTTACGACAATTGTTTTCTCATCTGTTACACACGCCTCATAACCATTCCATTCACTTCGTCTATTTATAATCTGTCCATTAATTATTCGACCATTTCCACCAGCACAGGCTATTTGTGTACCATCAGAGGACCATTTTATGCTTAATATACTACCGGTTTGTGTTTTCTCCAAGTTATACATCCACTAAAAAGGGAATAATTAAACAAATTTATATTTCATTTGTTAGATTTCACCACGTATAGACATAATTTGGAGACGTCATTGAAACCGAGGGAGCACTGGACTTCTGTGTTGTCCTACTTTAGGACTCTTCAGCACTGCGCATCCACGACCTCATCAGCAATCAAACTCGAGACTTTCAGTTCATGTGGCTAAGTTCATGGATGATTCGGGCCCTTGAGCTGGAATTCAATGACCCATGAATTGTAACTCTTATCCTCTCATGATATAGCCTTCGACAAGCATCCACTTCATCATTGACCCGGTGCACTCCAGAGGTCACAACATTAGAATACATCTTCAGAATATCCATTCAGCAGTCATCAACCGACTGGCGACTGATATTCAGACTATAGGATTTGTGCCAGGTGAGAGTCTCTGTGGAAACACTGTCACTCACTGACAGTCCAAAACTAGGACAGAACACGAGTTCTTGACTTCACTGCTAGCCACCATTAGTCAAACAGCATCTAGTGTATGTGTGCTTATAGTGCTTGTACTAACATTTTGGCTGAATTTCTAAAACCATTACTAACCAGCTTAGATGTATGGCTGAATGAATGATGTTTTCCATGAATACTTATATCAGTAATACATATGGTCTTCCTACTAGGAAGCTTATCAATAAACTCACACGACTCTCTCAAACAGAAGCAAGATTCACTAACCATCGGATTTTTAACAATTGATGTTTAAAAAATCATATAATTCCAAAATATTTACCCATACGTACTCCAATTAATTCAAGAAAAATAACATCAGCAGCTGAACATATCAGTACATTATGTCTAAGAGAAGAGCTACATCGAATTACTGTGAAACTAAATAATATACCAAATGAAATCAAAAAAACTCAAACACAAACTCAAATGTATGGTCAATGACAAAGATTATGTAATTATTGTTGAAACATCAAAAAAGCTAGAGAATCAGCATTAAGAAAATCAAAAACCACACAAATCAAAAAATTCAACAAACTAATTGAAGAAAGGAACACAGCAAATGAAATTGATGTCAATGCTTCATCCTCTATCGACAGAACAAAGTGGGTGATCAACCTCTCATCAAGGGAACTAAGCTCTAGTGAGATAAAAGTACTGGAGAAAGGACTAAATTTCAACGTAACAGTTAATAAATTAAAACCAGAGGATGTCATTCCTAACATAGAAGTAGCACTAGGTTCAATAGATAAAACAACAGCAGTAGAGGTTCGAGCACAATGTGCATTAACCCTAAAAGAATCAAAAGAAGGCAATACTTCTACTAGTCAGCGGTTCATTTTCAATGGTAAGTAAGGTAGTTAGAATTCTCCAACTTTATATATAAGATAATTGTGTGAAGCCAAGATTTTTTAGCCTAAAACCAGTGGTTTAATTCTCCTAAATTAAATCCCTATTTTAAAGGAAAAATGTATTCTTTCCACTAGAAAATTTACTAGATTACCTTTCGAAAAATGCTTCATTAACTGAATTTCTTTCCTTCACATTCCCCAGTGGAACATAGGGCTTCAAGCTAGTGTCTTGAAGTTTCTGTAGCAGTGTTTATTTTACAGGATGGGGGTTGCTAGTCTCATGCCCAACCTATCCTCTTTACCAGAATTATTTCTGGTTCAGCGAGGTAAAGGAGTGCGCCGGCTGAGGATCGAACCCCGGACCATGTGCATGGTCGCCGAGCGTCCTAACCGCTATACCATTGACGCACATTAACTGAATTACAATCATATAAATAACGATCAACGCATAGTTTTTAAATAATTAATATTTTTAATAAATCAGTGACTTTAGTAGTTTGTCATGTAATGACAGAGCAGAGATCTTCTATTTCCAAGACACGTTTCCCTTCTTCTTCTTTTTTATAAAATGATTTGTAATTAAGGACGCCCAGTTCATTTTAGATACAAAATGATCGCTAACTGATTCTCAACTGAATCTTTTTTTTATGAACTTCTATTGTCAAAAGGTTATGGCATAAATCATAAATGAAGGTTCATGCACCAAATTATGCGATGCCGAAATACAGAATTGTATTTATTCCAGAAAATATCAGAAAAGAAAAAAAGTAGTAAAACAAAGTTAACTATTGGAATGATAGGAAGCATGAATTGTCATAATTGCGCATAACTGGGCAAAGACATTCAACCTATCCAAGAATGATTTTGAATCCTATCACTTACGATGGATAATTATCACTATTTCGTGTTACCCTGCAGAAAAAATCTCTAAAGATATCAGTAGCTCAGTGTGCATTGGTTGATTTAGAAGATTGGTGACATTTTATAGCCTACCTCTCTCTCAATTCTACTCGCCATTTCTTATTGCTTGAAAAATTTTGGGTTCCATCATAGAATAATTTCATTTGATAAAACACACAGTTATACCGTATTAAATAAATAACTTTGTATTTCTGTGCGTTTTATCGAAAAAAAATCTATCCTTTTATGGAATTATACTCGACTACATTCCCCAAATTCTATTCTTATATCAGTTTCCTGACAATGTTTCGGAGTCTTTTAAAAGTTAGATTCCGGAAAGTTAACCATCTTTTACTGAAATAATAAGTTGAAAGTCAGAATGAACATCTTTGGCAAATACGGTCATCACTGTTCGTCGAAGGAACAGTTGTTATCTCTTTACAGAACAGCTCTTAAAAGAACATAGGTGTGCCCCACTAAATGAGGTATAGTTCACAGATATTTTTCCCATCCTCTTGTTAAATGAGTGTCAAGCAGATCAGGTGTCAAAATTGAAAGGAGCTGAAAATTGCTCCCCTACACTTAGCGAAATTCAAAAATTCCAATGGTCTAGAATTCATAAAATTTTAGAATTATACTTTAACATTTTATTCTAAGATGCATACAACACTTCATGGCCTATATATAACCAGTTTATGAAAAGAAAATTTTTATTTTCAGGGATGCACAATTTAGCAGTCAATCATCCTATGAACTGCTGTAATATTCAAAGTCTGTAGACAAAACTACGAAGTATTACATAAGTTTTACAGTTAGAATATGGAATAAACAAAAGAAACGAAAATGCTGTCAAAACAAAAAAACAGTATTTCAAAGAACACAAATGACGATTCCCGGGAGAAAAATGGATAGTTCCTTTTGAAGCAAATAACTGGAACACGAATTTTCTGAGTTTTAAAATATAAAACTTTGAACTTAAGGGAATAAGAATTCCTGCAAATCATCAGAAAAATTAGTCAGAACTTTGTCATCCGGAAAAATTTTTAAAGTGTCAGTTTCCCGAGTTGAATCAGACTCAGCACAGTGCTGACTAGTGACCCACTAGTTAAAGATCACATGCCTTGGCAGGTTAGCTATATCCCTTCGTTACATAATAATTATAATAGTATCCACTAACCTCCTTAATAAGTTTCTCAAGTCTTTACCCACGTCCATATGTACACACAAACGAAATTATCAATTGCACATGATATCGAAGCAGAAGAACTAGTTCTACTCAAAAATGATGCAATCGAACAAAGACTGGACATGAATGATAACGGTAACTAAGGGTGAAGGAAACAAATTGGATGGGTTCAGTACTTATCACAATCAATGAAAATATCTCAACAGCCTAGAATCACTATGTAAATAGCATACATAAATTCGATGTCGTAGAGAACTAAAGCAAATTTTTCAACGTGCAGGTTAGCACAAATATGCCTCAGTTCAAGACATCACACTCCGTAAGAACACATTGGATAGGAGAAAAGAAATGCACGGAAGCTACAATAAGAGGAAGTGCATGAGGGAAATAATAATCACTGAAAGTTCAGAAATCGAAACATTCTTAAGAATCATTCTACTAATATTGTGACTGATAGATTTATAAAACTGACCAACCCTCTCTGACATTAATGGGAACAAATACATCTAGTAATCTACTATTAGAGGGGAATTTCGAGATTAAACATTTTTCAGATGTTTTTCTAAAGATGTAGCCAGACCTGCACAGATGCTTATCTGTAAACTACGAATACAAGCTTCATTTTACCAGACTCACACCTAAAATCCCCTTAATTCTGGGTAGTTTAGCCCTTCTCCAACATGTTCCACAAAAATTTATTATTTTCATAAATCAACAATAATAATAACGCATACTTGGAACTTACTCCAAGCTTGTCACATAACACAATGGTTGTATATGTTCCGACAGCAAACATTTGACCATCCGGAGACCAAGAAAGTGAAGTAACCGGATATTCAAAAGGTGAACTTGAATATAAAAGCCTTCCGAAACTGTCCCACACCTAAAGTATGTAAAATCGGTGCTACTTACCTTATATTTGCAATCCTCTGAACCAGAAATCAGGAGGTCACATATTGTATTCCAATCAACTTTTAGGATAACACCATCATGAGCTTTCCACTTTTCAAAATAAAATTAGTAAGTGTTTGATTAGCTTACTGCAAAAGGTTTAGCATTCGCTTGCAAGGACTGTATTACCAACTGTCTGTCGAGGGAAAATAGCATTACGCTTGAATTAGTTCCCCAAGCAATTGAGTAAATTGGGAAACCTATTTGTTGTAAAGTACACGTTGCAAAATGCTGAAGCATGCATACCATGTTGACACAGAGTAGATCTCAACATTCCACTTCGGGACCAAATTTTTATTTGGCCATCTTCTCCAGCTAAATGATAAGTGTTATTTAGAAATATTTACTAACAAGTAGCAAAGGATGTTCCATCATAATTCCATTTCACTGATAAAACTGCACCCTGATGAGCATCCGATGTTCGTTCTATTCTTCCGCCTTTTGAAACAATGTGGCATTTGCCTGTTTGATTTATAATATCACGGAGAATTTTTACCGTCTGTTCCTCCAAGCAAGAATATTTCATTCGCCGAAGTAGCTTTTGGAGTGGTTTTTCCTTTTTGTCTGGGAAGCCAATCCATATCAGTAGGAAATACATTTGCTGGCAGGTTAAACAGGTCCACTACCTGCTGT